TGATTGACTTGAAACTTGCGCCTATGCTTCACTTTATGTGCTAGGACCTAAATGTGACAAAGGAACACAACCTAGCGTAAAATAGGCCAAAGACGCAATAATTAAAGCTCAAACAATCAAGAAACAAAGGGGAAAACATGTACAAATATCGAGTCATCAAATCCCCCCACACTTAACCGTTTGCTTGTCCCCAAGCAAACCTAACTCAAACCAATGCAGCTCTCCAGACCTCTATAGCAACATGCACCCTCGATCGTTGATAGAGAATTTTCTAGATCATTTAGCAGCTGACGATGTCAACCGACGCACAAGTCATCTCATAGCTTCTTCGGCGAGAACGCTAGTCTCGAGTCGGCATCATGGCAAATAGTGAACAGAGGACAAATGAATCGTGGACAAAGAGACTCTAAAAAAAAAGATCATGGACTCACATTTTTCAAGGTGCTCTTATTTTCTTTTTGAAGACGGTTGGAACCCCTTTTCTTTCTGTTTTGCTTGTTTTCTGTTATTTTTCCTTTTCTTTTTTTTTTCAAGGGTCCCAACCTCCTTTTCAGAAAATGGGGGCTCCCACCTAGCAGAGGTTTTGCGGGAGCCCGGCTCTTACCGGCCATGCCAGGAGCGGGTGTCTCGAGCCTCGTGCGGGGGAAAGACATGTAAGGGGGCTGGAGGTAGTAGGTGAAAATTGGGAACGAATTCCCGTCTCCCCTTACACACTTTCTCCCTATTCGCACGGGAGACGTTATTTTAAAGCACATTTTCGAGCACCTGTTAAACTCAAAACATGAAACAAGAGTCCATGACAGGTAGAGAGTCCACAACACCACACAATTCAGGGGTCCTAAGATCACTAATTCACTCAATCAACCAACACAATATGAAGAAGAAATGAGACATCTTAAATGCATCAACATCCTCCATAGTGCTACACTACCTCCCTAGGTTGCATATTACTATAAAGACTGTCAATTCAAAGCATACTGAGTAGGCAATTGCAAGGAACACGTACTTGGAGCCCTCAAATTTAAAAATTTGGACAGTGGACTAGGCTCCAAGCACACAAACAGTCAAACATTCACACACATACATAATCGAACATCCCCCCACAATTAAGCACGACATTGTCCTCAATGGAGGAAAAATAAGGAGGGTAGAACGAAGTTACCATATCAACGGTGAATGATTGTGGACGGGGAAGGCGGTGCATTCCAGGAGGACAAAGTAGTCGAAACACAAACACCACACAAAATCTCACAAAGGTTGAATTATTGACTCTGAAATCAAAGAACAAAACTGACTCAACCGAAGAGAAATAGAGAAAGAAATGCAAACCGACTGGTTGGGTTGCCTCCCAACAAGCGCTTCTTTCACGTCGTGAGCCGGACGATGGCTCCTAAATTTCGGTCCATGCTAGAACCTCCTTGAAGTTGAGGTTCTCGTCGATGAGGTGGAGTCTCAAGTCATGAGCATGTGGTGTGGCAGGTGATGAAGGCTCATGTACTTGATGCAGATGAAGTCTCCACCCTCGAGACCTCTTCTTCTCTTCTCTCGTCTCATTGCCCCAAACCAGATATGACAACATCGATTGGCCACCATCGCGTCCACCAAGAGGGACCGATGTCGAGGTGGCCTTGGTCTGGCAAAGAGACACTGCAAATGGGTCCTTGCTAAGCAGTTCCTCGAAGTTTGGTGGAGATATCACATGTAACTCATGGCCAGTGCAGGCCTCTTCCACCTTAACTCCGTCCTCAGCCTGGACGCCAATTTCTTCTTCAACCCCCCTTTCTACTTCATGTGGTATCACCCCTGGGAAATGATCAAGAACTCCTCCTGCTTCACTTTCGTCATCCTCCACAACTTCTTTCTGCACCCTTTGTTGCTCTTCTTCTTCTAGCACGGATTGGAGAGCAAGTTGCCAAGCAATTTCTTTCATGAGATCTTCTTGCATCTCCGCACTCATGCCCGCCTCTTCAAAGCTCAGTTTGGGGTGTGGGAACGTGTGGTTGGCTACGACATGACATTCTTGATCATGACCATCACGGGAGCTCTCCGTGACAACTTCTGTGTGTTCCATAATGTCCTTGTAGCCTTCTTCTTCCTCCTCCTCTTCTAGTATGGCAGCAGAAGGGTGATCTGGAGCAGGTTGTGCCCAAGATCGCTCAAGATCATCGACGCTCTTCTTAAGGCTCAGGAGGATCCCCTCTGTTTCACGATAGGCCTGGACACAATGATCCATACTGGAGCATGATCTCTCCATGAGAAGCCTCAAATCATAGTGTGGATCTGGCTGTGGAGTGTAGCATGGCTCTGCAGAATGGCCCGTGAAGGCCGCCATGGGTAACTCCAGCTCCAATGGCCCTTCTGGTTGTGGGAGAAATTCTTCTTGGTAATGAGGTTGTTCTAGATATGCCCAGGGGTCCGGTTGTTCTCCGTAGTAAGGGGGTTGGTACTGGAACCCGAATCCATAGTCTTCTCCGCCTTGATTGCTCCAGGGAGTCTCGGGGTAATACCACCCAGATGGTGGTGGATACCCCCAATGATTGGAGAAGCCATTAGGATCCATTATTCAGATCTGCACCAACAAAAACAAAAACACCCAAGTGAAAAGCAAGGGTGGAAAAGAAAAGAAACGAAAAACGCTAAAGTAACAAACTTCTGCCTTTCCTAATACTCTAGAAAGTCCCCGGCAACGGCGCCAAAAACTTGACTCGCAATAACACAACTCCTAACAAAGGCCAAGTGTAACTAATGAAAGGGACTGCAGTATAGTGGCTCAAGTGATAAATATCGAATCCACGGGTCTCTAGAGTTACTATTACTCAACTTCAGTTTATTATTTAGCAAACCAGATTAAGATGAAAGAACTAAAACTACTCTAGCAAACTACAGTTAAAGTTAATCTAATTACAGGTTGGGAACTCACTTAGGTATGATTCCCCCTAGCTACTAGCCAGACTAACGATTGATGATTTCTAACTTGTTTCACTTTCATTCACAATGCGGAGAATCCTTGACTAGACCTTGAGTCTCGACTAAAGGAACAAGGCCCTCTTGAGTCAATTGCCTAGAGGGACGTATCCTTCTCTAGAACAACATATCAAGGCGTTCTGAACTAGATTCCCTCTATCGAATGAGGTTCTCAATCGATACAAAGCAGTGAACCAACCCTCGACTAAAGCAATCGATCCAATACTATCAATCTATGGTGCTCTATTGACCTAATCAGGTATTCGCTCTCATAGGATCAAAGCAGAATCAATAATCTCGACTAAAGCAGAATTGAATCATGAAAACATGCATAGATTGAATATGAACTCAAGATTATCAAGTCAGAGTACTCATACAATCATCCAATCAAACAAACATAGCTAGGGTTCCTCAAAACCTAAGTGAAGGGAAGTTACTCCATAGAGAAGAGAGAGGCTGCAGTAAGAATCTTCAGATGATCAGTCTTCAAGTCTGGGCTTGTTCCTCGAGCTTCCAAGGCAAAGAAATCCTCCAATTCCACTCCAAAAATGCCCTCAAATCGCCCTCTCTCTCTTTGGTTCGTCCCTTGGGTGTTTGGGATCCAAACAACAGCTCTCCCTCACCTTTGGCTCGAATTTGCGTTAAAAAACCTGATTCTGGGAAAAACACGGTCGAGGGCACGGCCGTGCTTTGCTTTTGACCGCCCGTGTTTTGCCCCGTGTTAAAAACACGCTCGCGCGCGTCGGCCAAAACACGGTCGTGCCTAAATATGGGCACGGCCGTGTTTTGATTTAGGCGCGCCCGTGTTTTTACTGCCGAACCTGTTCCCCTATATTCAATGCTTCGTTTCTCCCTCGTCCGGACTCCGAATCAGTCGCCGTTTGATCCCAGACGCTCGTACGTCCTCTTTCTTTTCATGACAAGCTTGCATGATTCTTTGTCCATAAATTGAGGTAGAAATTCATTCTTCTTCAGTTCATGCCCGAGTTTCTTCTCCCTAATCGCCAATTGATCTCTGATTGACTTGAAACTTGCGCCTATGCTTCACTTTATGTGCTAGGACCTAAATGTGACAAAGGAACACAACCTAGCGTAAAATAGGCCAAAGACGCAATAATTAAAGCTCAAACAATCAAGAAACAAAGGGGAAAACATGTGCAAATATCGAGTCATCAAAAGGCGTGGGATATGAGTTTACAGCAGAATACGCTACCTAGCTATTGGACAACAAATGCGTCTCCGCTCTTGGCTTGCCGCTACCTTCTTCATCAGATCGATCAAACCAGAGAAGAGAATCCAAAAATTATAGGGTAAATGTCACATTTGGTCACTGAAATTACCAAATCGTGTCATATTTAGTTACTAAAAAATTTTAATATCAATTTTCGTCACTCAAATTACTGAAATTTACTAAGAGTTGTTGGCAATATGGGCACCGAAACACCACATGTCCTCTTCTCACGCGAGTGACCCCATCACCTCATAATCCCCGTATTGTAATATTGTGCCTCACCACATCCGCTCTTGACTCTGCCCTTTGCTTCTGTAGCTGTATTGACAATGAAGAAAAGTTTGGAGCTGACTATACATCTTTTCCTTGTATATGCAGTGGCTGGGTCATAAATCTTGAGGAAGGGTCTAAAAAGGCTAAACTTCAAGAAGTTGAACCATGATCGTTCAAAAGGAAGAGGTAGACGCTTACGGCCAACTAGTATGAGCACTCATATAATGCTATATAGCATTGGTGTTTTAATGTACAATTTGAAGTTGTATCATAACATTAATTGTATAAGTTTAGGTTGTACTATTATGATATGAGACAATTTTACAACTTGAAGTTGTATCATCACATAAAGGTACAAGTTTAAGTTGTACCATAACAGAATTTGTACAAAAAGTATAGGTACAATATGAAGTTATACCATAACGTTAAAAGTACAATTTCAAGTTGTACCATAAAAGCAAAAAACTATAACGCCAATGCTATGTAGCACTGTAAAATTCCTCAACTAGTATATCTTCCAAATTTATTACATGTAATTTTATCTACATTATTAAAAAGTCGATGAGACTACAGCCTCTGGAATTCAACATGCACATCTGTCCTTCGCCATTGCACTTCCCAATAGCCATTCCAAAACATCAAGATTTGAAATCAGCGTATTGGAGAATCCCATAATTGTCCTGAAATTTGTACATGTCTTCATCACTCAAACTCACCCATGCTTCAATACCTTCCCCATCCTTACCATCAATGAGCAGCACAAGGTTATCCATCATGTTGAAATAACCCACCCATGTCGGCCTCCCCCATCCAAAATCCGTCTCGTAGAACGGGAACCTGCACCAGCTGCTGAATGCCACTAGATTCCCCTTCCCATGCTCCTCCACAAAACGTTTGAACAGATCCGAATACCCTCCACGATGACCTGTAGAGCCCTTGTCACAATCGTCATCGTTGTCGCTGCTTTCGAATATCTTCCTCACCTCCTCGTCCCTCACCATCCCAACCGACTCCCTCAGCTTCTCAGCCAGCTGAGCCCGCAGCTCGTTCGCTGCTTCCGTTGTTTCTTCAACCTCTTCGTTATGATAACTCATCGGCCACTTGGCGAAAACTGGCACGTGGACCAGATTCCCCATCACTTGCTCTGGCAAAGGCGGGTCCATCCTCGGCCGCAAGTTTACTACCATCATTCCTACATGATAGCGGTGAATTAGTTCTTGTTCATCTCCATGGCTAATAGTTGTTTTCTTCTTGTCCATGGCGATCTTTATTACTACCGACCAAATGAGTGCAGATACCGCTTGTACCCTAGTCGGCCGTTGTTGTTGCTGCCAGTAGCTCTGAATCCCACTTCTCAGAGCCGCAATCTGAAAGCTTTGAAACACAAACCTCTTGATTTTCGTGCGTGGTGTATTATTGCTAGGGCTTTCGATTGCCGGGGTTGCATCAATCCTGGTGGGCGGAAAAATAGAAGTGCAGTCCACAACCACTGATCCTGCACAACAACAGACCCAGAAATCTGATTAAGTTAATGAGGATTCCAATTTTTCTACCATGTCTTGAAGTGAACGTAACTTAAAAATTTTGTAACTGTTAAAAAGCACGTTCCATAGGTTGCATTAAATAAAATTGACGTATCGTAATGGTTAAGTGGCGCATGCTTATCTTATGTGTAACAATTGTAAATGGACATTAAGAAACGCTTATGCAATGCACGGCCCTTTTACGTAACGTAAATTAACATTATATCATGTGAATTGTTAATTAAGCCATTTCGGAAGCGTTACGTAGCGCTTTCAACTGACCTGCAGTGATTGGTTGCGCCGTTGATCCCGTTGCGTCCACTAGACTACCGCACCCGAGGTTTATTGTGGCCCAGGCTCGAAGGAAGCTAGCGAGGGTGCAAGCATCCGCCACGCCATGCCACATGCAGATGCCAATGGCTACACCCCCGCACCCGAAAAAATTGAGCTGGACGGCTAAAAGGACGAGCTTGCCCTCCGAGTCAACATGCCTCTCACGAGGCCGACAAGGGAGCAAGGCCAACAGCCTGTCCCCGTCGGGCTCCCGAAGAGCGTCCGACATGTCTCCTCCGACGACGACGACGCAGGCTTCCACGAATTCGACACCCTCGTCGTTGCACTCGACGGTGAGGGCGTCGTCCTTGTACCGCCCGGCGAGCGGGTAGTATGCCTCTAGGGTTTGGGAGAGGGAAGTCTTCAGTGCGTCGGCAATAATAGCAGTACTATTGCCGTGGGGTAGGTAGAAGAGGCAGACTGGGACGTAGGCAGCCGGCGTCGTTTGGTCTAGAATGGTGAGGTTGTGGAATCTCCGGTTGGCAGGAGTCGGAGAAAGTGGTCTGATTGTTACTCGGCGACTAATCTCAACTTTCAAAGCCATGTCTGGGTTTTGGCAATGATCCTGAGATCGATCAATGATGGAACACCATACTGCTTCTAATTTAATTTATAGAGTGCAAAAGTACGGAAGGGTTCTTGTCTACAATATCAATATACAGATGATAATGATGCTGCAGCTGATTAACTACAACTAGATGGAATCCAACTGTTAATTTTTGGTTATTAGCTTGCTTTTGGCTTTGTCGTTTCTTTTTGTTAGTGTGGTTATCAACCCAGATACTACAGCTTGATGCCGTATATATATATATATGGATGTTTATTAGTCCTCAAATTATTCCTTTATTAGTCCTCTTTCCGCTTGGCGCTGCTTCAACAGATTGATCAAACCAGAGAAGAGAATCCATAAACTATATATATGTACAAACCGATGGATCATAAACACAAGGAGTTTTGAGCAATGTAAATGATGATCATGTGGAAGAAAGGAGTTTTAAGCAATGCAAACATTAACGTTGTGATGTTTTATAGTGTTGTGCCGAGAAAAATGTTATACGATTTGTTATGAAAATGATAGAAAAGATGAACAAGTATAACCGTAAGGTTCGAAAGAGAGAGATACAAGAGAAGATGAAAGAACGAAGTTTTCTTTTTACCTATCCAATTCCGGGTTTTTTCTTTCCAGAAATACCACAAAAAAATTACAAAAATATCACCCATTTCCGAAATATAGAAAAATACCATCATTTACCATAAATCGCCACCCCCTATGGCGGTTATACACAAACCGCAGGGTGAGGCCATGGTTTTTGAACCTCTCGCCCAAAGACCGCATTAGGTCGGGGCGGTTTAATTGACCGGACCATGGGGTGGGGCTGCGGTTAACTTGCAGACCACCTACCCCCTAGCGGTTTGCACAAAAAAAAATGAAAGAAAAAGAACAATTCCTAACTTAGGCAGAAACTTAAAACGAACGTAACTTTGTGCTCGGGTATCTGATCGTCAACTAGTTGTGTATTTGTGACATAGGCTAAACTCGTCGGTAAAGACGAAAATCCTCGTCACTAATTTCATTATTTAGACGAAAATTTTGGCACAATCATTTTTGTCACTATTATTCATTAAATAGCTGTATATTTGTGACCTAATAAATATTAAATACTACCTCGATAAAGAGAATAGTTTTCATCACTAACTCTATTCTCTTAGGGAAAAAGTTAAAAATTGGTGCCATCATTATTTGTGATGACTAAATGTATGTAGTCAATAATATGTAGTCCAGCATTTGTTTATTTGAGATTATCTTACTTTTTTGTTTTGTTTTGGGTGATATATATTAAAGGAAAACAAAAACAACCAAATACAACAAAAGTCTGAAGAACGGAAGAACAAAGAAAAAGGCAGGGGAGCCGACTTCCGCCACAAGGACAGCAGATGGTCCGGCAATCCCCACACAGCACAGGCACTGCATAAACTACTAATACATCTCATCGCAACAGCTCAATGCATCAACAACCCAGTTCTATTATCTAAATTGTTGGAAAAGCCATGATCTCCCCTGGCCACGGAGACCCGTTGCGCTCATCTAAATGGTCTGAGTATCAAGCTCTGATCGTCATGATGCTGTTGATCTTGATTTCCATGTTGACCTGATCTGGGGGGAATCAACCGAGTCTTCATCTCGTAGAGCCAGCTCTCAGCTATTCTTCTATCAACTACGCGGGCTGCGGACAGCCAATGTGTTATCGCGCGTCCAATCCTGTAGGCTACAACTCGTGTCGTCGATTCACTGTCCTTAAATGTCCTTGAATTTCTTTCGAACCAGATGTTCCAGCAAAACGCATGTAGGAAGGCATATGAGCACCATTGGGTCGGGCTATTTGGTTTGCGGTGCGCCCATCTTCTTATTCTGTCTTTCATGTCATCATCTCTTTCTGCCCCTCTTGCGATCGGTATGAATGTCCGGAGGATGCGCCAAACTTCAGATGAGAAGCTGCAGAATATGAACAGATGATTGATCGCTTCTTCTCCTTCTTTGCACAGCATACATCTGTTTGCAAGCTGAAGTCCTTTTCTCGTTAAATTGTCGATCGTAAGGATTCTGCCATGATATATTAACCACACAAACACACAGATTTTGCTCGGAATTACATGTCTCCACACCGATTTGCAGGGGAAGCCATCTTCTCCCGGAAGAGTAGTTTCGCCCAACTTCTCATAGGCTGAGTGTACCGAGAACCCTGATGAGGGGTTGGGGTTCCAGATAACTCTTCCTGGACCTGCAGAAAAATCAGAAGCAGATAGATTTTCCAATAAGCGAAAAAGGCGCTCTCTCTCTCTCTCTGCCCCACCCCTAAGAGTAAGTTTCAATGGAATTTCCCACAAAATATTTTCACCTACAAAGGATATATGGTCAGCAACACGAGCACTCTGGGATTCGGCGGCAGCAAGCACCCTTGGGAATTCCTTGGCGAGGCATTTTCCCTGTATCCAGTAATCAAACCAGAAAGATGTCCAGTTTCCGCTTCCTTGTTCTACTCGGGCCATCCTCCAAAATTCATCTCTTAGCTTGAGAATTTGTAGCCAAGGGCTACAACCCAATCCTCTAGCACCTTCTCCGCAGTTCCATTCAGAATTCGGGTTTGAGTATTTAAGGGACAGTAGTTCCCTCCACCAGCTCTTCCTTTCAATTGCAAACCGCCACAACCATTTGTATAATAATGCCTTGTTGTGAAGATGAATATCCCGAAGCCCAAGTCCGCCTCGATTCTTAGGAGTTTTGCATAACTCCCGCGAAATCAGATGGAACTTATTTTTGTCTTGAGTTCCAGACCAAAGAAAATCTCTTTGGATCCTCTCCATCATCTTAACTGTGTTCATAGGGATAAAGAATAAAGAACTCATATAACTGCTTTGGCTAGCGAGAACTGCATTAATCAGGATAACTCTTCCTCCAATCGAAAGGTATTTTCCTTTCCAGCCGTCGAGTTTGATCTGCATTCTGTTGACAACCCGATTCCAGTTAGCATGCGTCGTCGGATGAGCCCCAAGCGGCATTCCCAGGTAGAGGGTTGGAAGGAACCCCCAGTCACATCCAAGAATCTCGGCTAGCCTGTCTATGTTTTGGACTTCGCCAATTGGAAAGATTCGAGTCTTCTCCAAGCTTATTCTGAGACCTGTGACAGTCTGAAAACATACCAGGGCAGCAAGTACATTCGTTACTTCATCCTCCGAGGCTTCACAGAATATCACAGCATCATCAGCATATAGAAGGTGCGTTACTTCTCCTCGTCGTCTCTCCTCATCAAAGCAGAATCCATTCAGTAGGCCTGCCTCGTTGATTTTCTTTAGTATGAAGGACAGCAGGTCCATTCCCACACTAAACAGAAAAGGAGAGAGTGGGTCACCTTGTTTGACACCCCTTTCCATGCCGAAGAAGCCCGCTGCTTCGCCATTAACTAAAACCGACATTTTGGAAGATGAAATATACCAGCCAGCCATTTTAGAAATCTATGGTGTAATCCAAAGCAAGTGAGCGCCTTCAGGATGCATTTCCAGTTTATCGTGTCAAAAGCCTTCTCAATGTCGAGTTTTATGACTAGGCCAGTCTTCCCGCTTCTCCTCCTACTATCGATGACTTCATTAGCAATAAGGCAGGTTTCATGTATTATTTTGCCTTTCTTCCCGCCGAACTGATGTTTTGAGATGATGTTGTTGATGAAGGGTTGGATTCGGTTGAAGAGTATCTTAGAGATGAGCTTGTTGAGGCTGCCCACTAGACTAATAGGCCTGAAATCTGATGTTTCTTCCACTGCATCTTTCTTGGGAATTAGGCATATGAATGAGTGTGCGATTGAGTGTGGTAGGCTTCCTGAGAGGAAAAAAATCATCCATGGCTTTGATCAAATCTACCTTGAGTATGTTCCAAGCTTTTTTGTAGAAAGCAAGAGTATATCCATCGGGTCCCGGAGCCTTGTCACCGTTGCATTGCTTAACTGCTTGTAATATTTCAGCTTCGGTAAAAGGTTTGATTAGATTTTCATTTTCTTCTGCTGATAATAATGGGCGCGTATACTCGGCAGGAAAAGGCCTGTCCAATATCTCCTCAGAAAACTTCTTTTGAAAAGCTTCCATGAAAGCAGCCTTGATCTCGCTACTGTCTTCTGTGATTCTTCCGTCAACCCTTAATCTTTTGATTAAGTTCTTCCGACGATTAACCTTCGCTGCTCTGTGAAAGAAGGGTGTATTTTTATCCCCTGATTTGAGCCACAGCTCCCTGGATTTCTGTCTCCACATAATTTCCTCCATAATTAACAGTTTTTCAAGTTCACCCTTTGCTAATGATCTTTCTATTGTCAAAGTAATCCCTATCTCACCTGCTTCTTCTTCATCATCAATGCTTTTGATTCTAGCCAGTAGCCCGGTGATCTTCCTGTCCACTCTACCGAAAATCTCACGGTTCCACTCTTTGATTAGAAGCTTGGTTTGTCTGCACTTCTGGCCAAACCTGAACAGGTGGCTGGTTCCATTTACAGGAACATTCCACCATCCTACCAGACTGGTGAGGAAGGTTTCCTCTTCAAGCCATGCATTTTCGAATCTCCAAGGGTGTCGAATATCCTCCTTCCTTCCCCATCGTAGAAGTATTGGATTATGATCTGATTCTATTCTGTCCAAGGCGATAAGAGCTTCAGGGGAGAAATCATCCTCGAAACTAGCGTTGATTAGGGCCCTGTCAATGCGAGATAAGTTGCAGGGGGGATGGTTATCCTCAATTCTGATAGAGCGGTCATCCTTGCGAAGGGGGTTCATTTCCCTCTCCTTGGTGATCCAATGATGGTTAAAGCTCTGGTCCTCCGGGAGGCGATTGGCTGGTGTTTGGCAAATGGATTCACTGTTATGAGGTTTGAAGGTGATGCTCAGGTGATAATTGAGAAGAGGTTTAGGGTTTAGAGATAGTCAATTTGTTTGCTTCAAACATAGGTTTCACTGTACGATTTGTAGGTCGAAGAAACAATAGGGTAGCTCATTTGGTAGCTAGACATGCCCTGTCTTTGTTCCCGACTACATGTCGATCGTTTGATTTCCAGACCTGGCTGTATTCCAGGATGTAACGATCTATTGATTTCATTATCTTTTGTAAAAAAAAAAAAAAACTGAATCTTCACCAACTCATGTTTATATTTGAAAGGGATCCGAAATTTTATGGTTCTAACCTACTAGGCTTGCCACTACTTTACTTGTGGTTGCCTGCGCATGAAAATTGGATTCGGGGGATCATGTTGAGAAGGATGGGATGGGGAAATTGAAATTAAAATCGGTGGCGATAAAAAGGACGGGGGAGGAGTCCGAATTGCAGAATGCTAAAGCCGGTTGAATCTGGATATTTGAGATCTGGGTAATTTCGACTGACGGAGTTTGAGATCTGGGTGGCGATGGCGTACCAGCGGCAACAGCGATGATGGTAGTGGATTTGCACAATAGTGACGGCGGCAACGGGGCTAATGACGACGGTGAATTCGACTAATGGGGATACGAGATCTGGGTGGTGATGGAAATTTTGGATGTGGATTGTCGCGGTAGAAACGATGCTGGGGGCGATGCCAATCAGGCGGCGACAACGGGGCTAATGACGGGGGTGATTTTAATTGATGAAGGGTTCAGTATTTTGGTGGTGATGAACTGGTGATTATCGGCGGCTACATGGATGATGATAGATTGATAGTGCATTGCTGGTGCCACTCGTGACTCGAGGGAGGAGTTGGACTTACAGTGGAAGGATCTAGAAAAAACAAACGAGGGGAAGAGGAAGGGAAACTCTAGCCTGCCTCTTTTTTGCTTTTGTTTTTAATTTATATTTTATTAATTTAATAGCTAAACTAGAGTACCAGACCCACCTAATAAATCACAAATCCAACCATTTAACCGGTCAGAAATTATGACAGTACCAGTGCCGCAACGGCACCACAGAATTCCCCTGGGGTCGTTTGGATGGAGGATTGTGGGGCAGGATTTTGCCACAATTCCTTCCCTTCCCGGATTTCACTACAATCTTGCGTTTGGCAAAGCTAAAAATAATAGGAATTTTAATCATGAAGAATTTTAAAAACCTGCCATTGAGGAATTTTAAAATAGCTGGTCCCCCTCAGCTATTTTGAAATCCTGCATTTTTTATATTCTATTTCCAACACTATCCCTCCTCCAATCGACCTCTCCTCTTCCTTCTTCGATCTTATCTAGTATCTGCTTCTCTCTCTCTCTCTCTCTCTCTCTCTCTCCCTCTCTCAACCTGTGCAATGAGCATCAACAATGGAAAACGATGGTATTGTACTCAGAGGATCTTCGTCGACTCCTCTCCTCAAGGGATCTCCGCCGTCCAATTGCCTCACCACCACCACCTCGTCAAGGACCGCCACTCTCGGAGCTTCTTTCTTCTGTCATCTTCGTAAGAAGGACCACCATTCTCTGATGCCCGCTTGCGCCGACGAGCGGCTCCGTGAAGGACAGGGGCTCGATTTTGCCCAGATATGGAAATCGCAACTGGAGATCGATTTTGGCGGTGGTGGAGTCTGGGTTTCTGATTTGCGACAAGCTCGATTTGACTGTTTCTGTGTGGTTGGTGTTGACGTCGGAGCGAATTGCAGAAGCGAAGGACGGTGGATGGTGGGTTTTCAACCTCTTCTAAAAACTGGGCTTGCGAATTGGAGGCGGGGCCGTTTGTTTCTGGGTTTCAAAAGGAATAAGGGAATCGCGTCGGAGTTCAGGTAGAAGAATTGCGACGCCCTCCACGCGTTCAATCTCGTCGGTGCCGATGATTAGAGCTGGGGAGAAGACGCGTTGTTTTTTTACCTTCTGCAAGAAGGAAGGAGGAGGAAGGAGATGAGGGTAGATTGGACTTTGTACAATTGGTGTCCAAATTCTACATATTTAAACAAACAAGTAATTGGTACAAATAACTCGTTCAAAATTTCTGGGTTTTTAAGTGAAGGATTTGGATCAAAATCTCTCATAAATCACTCATGTTAAAATTCATGATCCAAACGACCCCCTGAGGAAATATTTCCCGAGACCTTTAGATTTAGATTAGTTTTCTTCTTTTTAGCGGTAACCTAGCGCAATCTCATCCATTAAATTTTATAAATCTCGTTCCTCGTCGTTGATTTAAAAAATTCCTAGCAAAACCCTAGTTTCTCAACATATTCACCTGACCTGTGTCGTTCCTCCCTTTTTCTCTTCATTTTACTTTCTTTTTCCTGTGGCCTTAGTTCGACTCACCTCCTCCAGACCTTCACGCTTCATGTCTTCATCACTCAAACTCACCCATGCTTTAATACCCTCCCCATCCTTGGCATCGATGAGCAGCACAAGGTTATCTGTCATGTTGAAATAATCCACCCAAGTCGGCTTCCCCCACCCAAAATCCGTCTCGTAGAACGGAAACCTCCACCAGCTGCTGAATGCAACCAAATCCCCCTTCTGATGCTCCTCCACAAAACGTTTGAACATATCCGAATACCCTTCCCGACGACTTGTAACACCCTTGTCACAGTCGTTGTCAACGTCGTCGCTCCTTCCGAATATCTTTCTCACTTCTTCGTCGTTCACCATCCTAACAGACTCCCTTAGCTTCTCAGCTAGCCGAGTCCGCAACTCGTTCTCTCCTTCTGCTGTTTCGACCTCTTCCTTTTGATAACTTATCGACCACTTCTCAAAAACGCGCACGTGGACCAGATTCCCCATCACTTGCTCTGGCAAAGGAGGGACTAGCCTCGGCCGCAAATTTACTACTATCATACCTACATGATAACGGTGAATTAGTTCTTGTTCATCTTCATGGCTAATAGTATTCGGTGGTTTTTTCTTGTCCATGGCGATCTTTATCACTACCGACCAAATGGGCATCGTTGCTGCTACCAGTAGCGTTGGATCCCACTTCTTAGCTCCGCAATCTGAAAGCCTTCAAACACAAACCTCTTAACTTTGGTGTGTGGGGTACTATTACTGGGGGTATCGACTTCCAGGGTTGTGTTATCCCGGCTGGGCGAAAAAATAGAAGTGCAGTCCACGACCATTGATCCTTCACGATAAGAGAGCCAGAAATCTGGTTGAGTAAATGATGTCAATTATTATAGGAGAATCCAAGTAACATATTATATATACATACAAAGGAAATGTCCCTTTATATCAGTGTCCGCCAAGCACGTTAGTACGAGGCCTTTTGGTGAGGATACCCAAAGATAGATCCATGTGGGAATGACCCAAAGCGGACAATATCGTACTAGTGGAGCACCCTATCGAACAGCTGGTATGAGAACTCTGATTTGGATCTAGGCAGTGGACTTCAAGGTGGACCATCATTCTGTGACTTCGAAATTCGAGATTAGCATATGGTGGATCGAGGATCCACATTTGGCGAATCAAAGATTCGCATCCGGCTTTTCAATGGAGATATGCACATGGTAAATTCTTGTGTCGAACAAAGTATGCGATACAAGGTGCTTGGTCGATCAATAAAGATAATCGTTGAGGGGATGATGCGAAGTTCGTTATACCTGTCTCGAAGAGAGGATTGTTATGGGGTCCACATCGTATCACAAGCATGGTGTCCACCAAGATCACTCGTATGAAATCTTTTGGAAAGGAACCCAAAAAGTAAATTCGGGCAGACTTCAACCAAAATGGACAATATCTTACGAAACACCCGATCCAACACAAACAGTGACGGCCAAATTTTATCAATGGTTAAAACTTTCAGATCTAGCTTATACGAAATTTTGTGTGCATATAAAGCCGGTCTTGTCTACAAATCCTACTCCTACCACTTATTTATGGAAGTTCTCCATCCAGACATACTCCATTCAAAATTTCTAGCTCTCTGAGAGAATTTAGGGAGGATATTTTTATCATATTAATAATTAAAAAAACTCTACGGATAAATGGTAAAAAATTGGAAATAAGTTAGCTTTCTCTCTAAAGATAAGGTATTTCTTAAATAAATAATTTGACATGCTAAGCGGATTCATCGTCAGAATTAATTATTACATATTTTATTAAATAAATCATTTAAAATAATCATAATTTGTATTACAATTTTATAGGAATTTTATTAGAGCTCTCCACTTATCACATTTTCTTTCCTTAATTTTCAATACCCTAATAAATGATTTGTATCTTTTCCTTTCAATTTAAAATTTATATTTTTTGGCATATAAAATTATATTTAATGTGATTTGCACAATCATATCCATTGAAATACTTAAACATGTGATTAAGGATTGACAATCTTTGTTTCAAGATCACATAGTATATGCTTTTGAAAACTTCAAAGTGAGTCTACCAACAATATATTACATGCCAATTTCAAACAAATTGGTGATCAAGTTCCCATCAAATACTATTGTCCAAGCTTGCGCTGATATTCCAACAATGCCAGCTTATAAGCTTGATTTCATCAAATAAGATAAAATTTAAATTTTTTGCTTTGAATGTAACGGGGGAGAAGAAGAAAGAAACTGTTGATGGTGTAGATTTTATTAAGAGAAATAAAAGCAATGTTATTGATGGAGACGATAATGGTGCTAGTGCCGGAGAAATGAAAACAAAGTCAAATAAGAAAATTTGTATTAGTCTTTGACATCATGAGTAAATTGATGTGTGGTTTGGTTATGTTTTTTAGGAGTGATTTCCACTTAGTTCTTTACTTTAAATAAGGACTTTCTTTGATGCAAATGTTAGGACAATAGAAAACTTTGTGATATATGATTCTTTTATATTTTTAATCCAATCATTTGAATTTTTTATGGTACCAAATAAAATTTAGAATTCTTTGAATACTTGCTATTGTTATTTATGCTATTTTGCGCCCAATGGGCGAGCCCAATTCTAGTAAAATATACAGATGAAGCAGCTGGTTTCCACGCCTTTTTTGTTCTTTTGATAATGATGTTGCGCTGTTTGACTAAGACTAGATTTTCGATAAAAAGATACAAAATATGCTACCCTCCAAAGGGCAGCCTTCTATTATTTTTAGTTAGCTTGCTTTTGGCTTTTTTTGTTTCTTTTTGTTAGTATGGTTATCATCCCAGATACTACAGCTTGATGCAGTACACAAGGAGGAGTCAGGATTCGGTGTTCGGAGGCGTAATTTTTTATTATGTTACTTCGAAACGATAATAAAAATATTTTAAATATTATTATAATTTCATTTTCTAGATTATTACAATTACTCAAAATAAGATCTATTGCGCAGCTTATTTTGTGCAGACAAAAGTAAATATATGTTGTCGTATCCGCCAATTCTTTCTTTGAATTCATTATTTTATATGCCTCAAAAATTTGTATTGTGTTTACCCGATGCAATTGCAAGTGTAGAAATGCATTTTCATCTTTGAGCCGAGGATGAAGACATGATTTGGCGTTCCTAAAGGAGGTTTATTTTGTTAATACAAAAAAAATTATTTTAATATTATCGTAACAACAATTCTAGATGATTAGAATGAACTAAAATTGTCTAACATGGTACAATATAAATTGAAAAAATCAAACAAATTAATAGTGCATTTCAATTGTTGTGTAACACATTCTATTTTCATATTCGAAAATCAATATCTAGTATTTTCATATTCCGGGTGGGGGGGGGGGGGGGGGGGGGGGGGTCGCAACCCCACTGACCTGTAACCCGATGAACCCATAACCCGACTAACCCGCAACTCGATTGAACCGTAATCGATGAACTCAAAACCCGATGAACCCATAACCCGACTAACCCGCAAAGCGATTGAACCCAACCCAAACCCGCCCGATTGACACCTATAATTCTGCATCCGCTGAACTAGCTTTCTTTCTTTGTTCATATTTGCACAAAAAATTTAGTCATAAATGTTCTTTAGTTTATAAGAAATTTCCAAATACCGATGCTTATATGTAACTTTCAAAATTCTAGTGTAGCTCCGCCCCTGGCCGTATATGGATGTTTGTTAGTCGTCAAATTACTATATTCTAGTTGTTTCTGTCTTTTTAATAGAGCGTGCGTACGCTGTAACCTATGGCCGGCAAGAATGAACGTTAAACATGGAATATGAGTTTACACAAGAGTATGGTAGAGGATAGGGTGGGTAGTATGCATTTAGATTTTACGAGAGGGAGCTTTTCAGCGCATTGGTAATACCATCGTTAATATCGTTGTCAACACCTAAAAATAATCTTGCACCATGTTGATTATTAACAAGACACCTATTGTCTTTACAATGTCGGATCAATTATAATAATTAATATTGTTTACATACTAGATTTTTAAGCCCAAACGATTAAGTCTGTATCGATAACATTGGTCACGAGATTTGACCACGTTGCTCGTGGAATCTGACCACGTTGGTCGCGAGAGGGCATGTCGCGTGGAGTGACAAGGAGGCTACGAAATATACTAAGTCTGAGAACTAGACCACGCTGGTCGCGAGATTTTTAAACAACATTAGTCGAGAGATCTAGACCACGTTGGTCGTGAGATCTAGACTGACTTAATCGCGATAGCGACCACGCTGGTCGTGAGATTTGACAGCGTTGGTTGCGAGAGACAAACACGCTGGTCGTGAGATCTGACAACGTTGGTCGCGAGGCACGACCATGATGTCCTCGAGGCACGACCACGATGGTCGCGACTCCATGGCATGGTCGAGAGTAGGCAAGCACCAAAGACTTCGACCCCAACAGGAGAGAGGTGGCTAAGCAGTTGATGAATCAACTCCTAGTCATCTCATGTTTGAAGACACGTCCGAGGAAGAAGGCACCAATTATTTTTGGGAGTTATCAAGCAAGCAGTTCTCCAAGGCGGTTACCACTCCATGCCTATAAATATGAGGAAGGGGCGATTGACACAACTGACACCTATGTAAAGTTTTTACATTTTCTCTGCAAATGTAGTTATTGTCTTATTTTGGAGCTCTCGCTAAAGCTCCATAGGAGTAGGGGTACGTAATTAACTTAACTTAGAATTTGTAGTTTCCTTTCACCATCAATAAAACACCCTCGTTCGAACTTTGTTTGAAGAGGTGTGAGCCGTGTCTTAGAAATTATTGTCCGAAGAAGTCGAGGTGCATTTATTTCAATTCAACGCAAGTTTTCTCGCCAAAAAACAATTGTTATTGGAATGTGTTTTAGATATGACGATCATTTTCAACATTCAATTGATCCGTTAGAATTGCTCATCCAAACAATCTCGTAGATACAAGATGTTGCTTAGTCGAGAATAGTGAGGTTGTGGGATAGGTAAGAGATACCAGCTGCTGAATAAGTGTTATAATTTGGTTTTCTTTCTTTCCTTTTTTTTTTATCTTAGGTATCTTTGTTGAACACTTCTACTATGCTTTAAAGAATTGGTGCTTTAAAGTATTGGTGCTTTAAAGTACAATTTGAAGTTGTACCACAACGTTAAAGATACAAATTGCTTTTGTACAATGAGGGAATTTGACATTTATGTTGTGCTACAACTTTAAATTGTACCATAATATAAAGGTACAATTTTGGTTCGTACCATAAAAGAATTTTACAAAATAATATAGGTACAAGCTAAAATTATACCATAACGTTAAAGATACAACTTCAAGTTGTATCATAAAAGAAAAAACTGAAACACCAATACTTTAAAGCATTGTAAAATTCCTCATATAAAAAAAATTCCTCATATTTCTAAATCTATTATTAGAAAAATCTATTATAATTTTTACCAAAACAAAAAGTCATTCTAAAAGTTAAGCATTTGAAATGTACGGTGTATGTCTGGAAAGAATGACAGTTAATGGCTTTGTGTAAGCGTCGGCCAAATATATATAAAAGAAGTACAAGCTTCGACATGAATATGAGTGCTTCGACATGGCTCCAGGTGAGGGAATTCATGAAATGTACTCTCGATTTACTGTTCTAATGAACAAGCTTAAAGGGCTAGGAAAAACTTATCTTTTGAAAGACTTGAACAGAAAAATCTTGAGGTCCCTTCCTAAAGAATGGTTGCCTAAACTAACTGCTATTGAAGAAGCAAGAAATCTTAACACTATGCCTATAGATGAGTTGATAGGTTCACTCCTTAGTCATGAACATGTTCTCAAACAAGTTAATAGGGATGATGAGAAGCGTAAGAAAACCCTAGCTTTTAAATAACAAGTAGAAGAGTATGATTCTGATATTGACTTAGGTGAAGACTTTAGTAGGGAATTTGCTCTGATCAGTAATAAGTTTCATAGAATGCTCAAGTATAAACAAGACAGAAACAGAAATCTCTGAATTCCTCCTATCGTACTAACTCTTTTGACAAAGTCAAAAGCTCCTTTCAAGACAGGCTGCGTACTCCGCAGACCAGACAATTTGATACAGGAAATCAGGAGAAAGAAATTCAAGATTGCTACAAATGTGGAAAGCCAGGGCACATTAGGGCAAACTGTCCACTGACACTGAGAGCAAAAGATAGGGCTATGAAAGCAACATGGAGCGACTATGAGTCAGAAGATGAAGAAGATGGTGGAGATGAAAAGGCACTCATGGCCTCTGTAAGCAACGAGTTTTCTTTTGAAGTCAATCAGAATTCTACCTCCTCAGATGGCTCAAAATGGTACTTGGACAGTGGATGTTCGCATCATATGTCTGGTAAGAAGTATCTATTCAATTCTCTAACTATGAAACGTGGGGGTAAGGTCACTTTTGGAGATGATGGTCAGGGATTGATAATAGGATCTGGCAGTGTAGGTAAAAATCCTTGCCCTATCATAAAAAATGTGTTGCTTGTTGAAGGTCTGAAACATAACCTATTATCTATTAGTCAACTATGCAGTAATGGAAATCGTGTTGTTTTCGAAAATGACAAGTGTTCAGTTGAACAGATAAGCAATGATAAAGTCTTACTGATCGGAAAAAGGGTCAATAACATGTATATAGTAAACTTTTCTGACCCCAGTTTAGTTAATGCCCAATGTCTTCAGGCCACATCAACTTCTCCTGAATTTCTATGGCACAAGAGATTAGGGCATGTCAGTCTGTCTAAGTTAGCTGTTCTTTCTAAGTCCAGTCTAGCTAGAGGAATTCCTAAGCTAAAAGATAAAATAGAATTCTTCTGCAATGCATGTGCTGCTGGTAAGCACAAACGAAAAAGCTTTAAATCTAAACCAGATATTACCACCTCCAGAAGTTATGAGTTAATTCATATGGACTTGTTTGGGCCATGTAATGTAACTAGTTTGGGAGGTAAGAATTATGTGTTTGTGTTAGTTGATGACTATTCTGGGTTCTCCTGGGTATTTTTCTTGACTCACAAGGATGAAACGTTTGAAAAATTCCGCTCATTTGTCTCTTTGAATCATGAGTCTATAAAATCTATTCGTAGTGACAATGGGGGAGAATTCATCTCTGATGAATTTGCTAATTTTTGTGAAAAATCTGGGATAAATCATTCTTTTTCTGCTCCCAGGACTCAACAAAATGGAGTGGTAGAACGTAAGAACAGAACCCTGATTGAGTGTGTTAGAACTATGCTTCTTGATTATAACCTTCCTAAGTTTTTCTGGGCTGAAGCAGTGAGTACTGGTTGCTATGTCATAAATAGAGTCTTAGTTAGAAAACAGCTGAATAAAAATCCCTATGAGATCTTAAAAGGAAAAACACCTAGAGTATCCTACTTCCATCCTTTTGGATGTCCCTGTTACACTCTAAATACTCGTGATTCACTAGGAAAGTTCGATGCTAAGTCTGATCTTGCTACTTTCCTTGGGTATTCATCTAAGGGACAAGCATACAGAGTGTTTAATAAGAGAACTAGAAAGGTTGAAGAGTCTGTGCATGTTGTCTTCAATGAAACAGATCTAGTAACATCAGATATCACTTTAACTCTTGATCTATGTGAACTTACCACTCCTAGTCCAGCTTCTCTTAGTGAACATATCACTGCTAAGGAAGACTCTGAGCTATCCAAGCATTCTGATAAGGAACCAGACACTCCCACTGAAACTCCCAAGGCTCCACCTCATATTCAGAAACACCATCCTGAGAGCCAAGTCATAGGAAACATAAATGACAAGGTGCAGATAAGAGGTAAGTACATTCCTGGCCAATATGCCTTTGTTTCTCAGATTGAACCAAAAAATTATAAAAAAACCCTAAATGATGAAGAATGGAACCTAGCTATGATAGAAGAATTAACACAGTTTGAACATCTGCGTGTTTGGGATCTGGTTCCTAGACCTCCTATTGTTATTGTGATAGGAACCAAATGGGTGTTTAGAAACAAGTCTGATGAGATGGGATTTATTATTAGAAATAAAGCTAGGTTAGTGGCTCATGGATATCTACAAGAAGAAGGGGTGGACTATGACGAAACCTTTGCCCCTGTAGCTAGGCTTGAGTCAATAAGACTTCTCTGTGCTTTTGCTAGTCACTTAGGGTTTCCTCTATACCAAATGGACGTTAAAAGCGCGTTTTTAAATGGTTTTATTTAAGAGGATGTCTATGTCTCTCAACCCCCTGTTTTGAAAACTATGAACATCCAGATCATGTCTATAAACTTAATAAAGCGTTGTATGGACTCAAACAGGTGCCTAGGGCCTGGTTTGAACGCCTCACAACCTTTCTTCTTGAAAATTCATTTGTTCAAGGAAGCACAGATAAAACTCTTTTCATCAAGGAAGTTTCTGGGAAGATTCTTTTAGTCCAAGTCTATGTCGATGACATAGTCTTTGGATCTTCTGATCCCTCTCTTTGTACTGCATTTTGTGAAACCATGAAATCAGTTTTTGAAATGAGCATTATGGGAGAACTTAAGTTCTTTCTTAGTCTGCAAGTTAAACAAAATCCATCTGGAATTTTCATAAATCAGTCTAAGTATCTTAAGAACATGCTTACTAAATTTGAACTTGCCAACATTAAGTCAAGCCCAACCCCTATGGCAGTTAACCTTAAACTAGATAGAGATGAAACAGGAGTGTCAGTAGATGAAAAGAAGTATCGAGGCATGATTGGCTCACTCCTATATCTCACGGCTAGTCGACCAGATATTCAATATAGTGTCTGTATGTGTGCTAGGGTTCAGTCTAACCCAAAAGAAAGTCACCTCACTGCTGTAAAAAGGATATTTAGATATTTAAGAGGGACTCCTGAGGTTGGTTTATGGTATCCTAAGCATAATAATTTCTCCCTGATTGGTTATAGCGACTCAGACTTTGCAGGAAGTTTAACTGATAGGAAAAGCACTACTGGTACCTGTCAGTTTGTAGGAACTTCTTTGGTTTCCTGGTCTTGCAAAAAGCAAGGAGCTGTTGCTCTATCTACTTCTAAAGCAGAATATATAGCTGCTGGCAGCTGCTGTACCCAACTCATATGGCTTAGAAACCAACTTAGAGACTATAATGTGCCTACTGCCTCCATACCTCTTTTTTGTGACAATACCAGTGCCATATGCATGTCAAAAAATCCGGTGCAGCATTCCAGAACTAAGCACATTGAAATTAAATACCACTTTATTAGAGATTTAGTTCAACAGAACACTATCCTTATTAGTCATATACCCACTGAGTATCAACTGGCTGATATGTTTACTAAAGCCTTGAATGCTGATCGATTCACTTTCCTTTTCTATGAGATAGGGTTACGATCTCCAGACAATCTGGAAGATCTTCCCTGATTCCACCTTCTTGTACTGATCTGTTCTCTTTACTTTGCTGTATTTATTTTCTTTCCTTGTTTTGTGTAACTTGCTTCTTTGTATTCTTCATGTTTAGTTTGTTTGGTCTTCTATTTAAGTTTGCTTGCGTCTTGTGTTTTTGCATTCACTCATCGTTCTCTGGATCTCTCCTCTGCTCTTAGTCATGGTGCTTAGTTTCTCCAAAACCTACACATGTACTCTTTTTCATGATCCAATCCCTGTTAACTACCATCGCCACTCCATATCCTTTGCTCATCGCCCATTCATTCTCACTTATCATGTCCCTTTTGCTGGTCTCATTGAATATGGTATCGATGTCTCTCAATTCATCCACAATCTGGGTTGGGATTTCCTGATAGAAGACACACCTGAGCACATCTGCCCTGAAGGTGTTCGTCTTTTTTACTCCAACTTTGGGATGCACACTCGCACCTTCACTACTCTGATTTTTGGACATCTTATCACCATTCCTCTTGAAGATCTTGGCAGACTTCTAAATATTCCTCTGTTTGGTGAAGCTCTGGCTCATGATTCTGAACTTGTGCGTTTCAACTTTGACATTGTTCAAGAGTTTGTTCAGCTTACTGGTCATGTGCCTGATGATTACCTCACTTTGTCTGCTGCCCTGTTTCTTCCTTCTCTTTGCACTCTTCATTATCTGATAACTCGTCGGTTCCTTCCTCGTACTATCCTTCTTGATAGAGTTACCCCTCTTGATCTTTGGGTCCTCACTCACGCTGTCCACAATGTCCCTCTCAATTACTGTCACCTCCTCTTTGGACACATTTATCCGTTTCAACAGCTCGAGTATCTCAGTCCTCTACCTTTCGGTCCACTTATTACCCGCCTAATTATTCGCCTAGAAATTTCATTGGATCCCTTTCGCATCACTACTCCAAACATCTACCCTACTGCTGACGATATTCTAGACGAGATTGCGCTTGACGTTGAGGGGGAGGATAATGATGACTCTGATGGCTCTGATGAATCCGACGATGATGATGAACCTGCTGAAGAACCTGTTGAAGACACTGATGATGAATCTGAAAAGCCAGAACCCGGATCCGAAGTTGAAGTACATTGGATTAGCAGTGATGACTCGGACAACGATGACTCTGATGACTCCAACTCTGGCTCTCCGTCTCTATCAACCGTACTTGCTGATCTCAGGGATGCCTATGGATATGAGTAACTGAGTGGATTAATATGTTTGGTGTGTTTGCTAGACTATCTGTTTGGATTGATGGACTTATGTTTTGTTTTGGTGTGTTTGCTAGATTATCTGTTTGGATTGATGGACTTGTTTTTTTTGCTTAAACTAGACTGGTTTGCTGGTAGTGTTTTCCCAGCTGGTTCTTTGAGCTATTTAATTTTTGGACTAGTGTTTTGTCTGCTTTCTTTGTTGTGTTTTGGGTATACCTGATTGTTGGTGCATGATTCAATCGGCAAATCAGCAATCTCTAACTTAGGGGGAGATTGTTGGTATGGAAGATTTCCAATCAAATCAAGTCAAGAGATTGCTTTTTGGAATCAAGGTAATTGATGACTGAATCAAGGGGGAGTTGATTGATGATTTGAACAACTTCCATTTCTAAAAAAGACCTCAACGGCTACCTCGGTGAAGGCTATATAAATGGAGATCGAAGACCTTTCTCAATTGACTGTTTTGGTGGGAATTCTTTGTGGGATAGGGCAAAGGGTTGAAACAGTGGCTTTGATCAAGATTGGGGTATAGGATCAGTCTGTCAAAGGTTGTGACGAATCCCTGCGCGGATTCGGGTTTAGTGTCTTGCCTTTTGATTTTCTCACTTCATCTTTTAACTCTGTCTTGTTTTCCTTTGTTCTTAGAGTCAAGAAAATCAAAAGTGTCTCTCGGAATAGTGGGTACTATTCCGGGACGAGGAGTAGCCCTGTGGTGAACCTCGTTAAAAATCTCGTTGTGTTCTTCTCTTTGGTTTCTTTACTTGCAGCTTTCTAGGGTCGATCGGTTTCTACTTACCCTGTCTCGCGGTGCTCTGTTTTCAGCCTGTGTGGCTTAACAAAGAAGAAGAAGAATCTTCTTTCTTTGTTATAGAGTTGAGCCGTGGGCTGGTGTAGAAGGGAAGTGAAGTTTAAATCAGTGGGCCTAAGCTGTCTCAGCCCAATCCGAACTTTTGCCCAGTCTGTTGAGACGTTTTTGGTTCGGTTTATATTTGGGTTGTTTTGTTCGTTGACTGTTGGAAGTCAAAATCCCTAAGTGTTCTTATTCTCCTATTTCACGAAATCTCATTTTCTTCAAGAAGACGAATTTGTTTGTTAGCATGCATCCATTTTGCTGGCGGCCGAACATTCGGCCTCTATATTCTAATACCTCGTTTGAAGGTGTCGTCACTGTCGTGTTATGCAATGTGTATTTTTTGTTTTGGTTTTTTATAAGTATAATATGGATTTGTTGTTTTGTTTCTGTTTAGATACTAGTTAAGAAATTCGAATATAGGATCTTCAAATTCATAGTATTGTGTTGTATAATATTTAAATCATAATATTGTGTGAATACTGAAACTACATTATGTGAATAAATATCAAATTATATTTCAAATAGTGTAAAAAATATCGATATGCATCTTGCTAGATTGTAAAAATAATTATAAGTAAGTTTTGTTCGCATAAATATTCTGAAAAACGACTTATATTAGCTTTAAGATACAAAATGTATTATCACATCATATTAATTTTGAATGTTAGCATTGTATCCTGTGACTTAACACGAATATCTTCCTATCCTATCAGACCACGTTGGCGTCAAGTCTATAGACCACGATGGTCGCGAGTGGGCATCGTCGCATGAAGAGTACCAAGACGACATTTCCAAAAGAGAGGGCTGGAGGTTAACGGAGCAACTGTCAATTATTCCATGTTCAATGACACGTCAGCCACGTCCGAATAAGAAGTGAAGCAGTTCTTTTTGGAAGTTACTCTCCAGGAGGTTTTTCTACGACGATTACCACTTCAAGGCTATAAATAAGTTTTAGCCGTAGATCTGGAGCTCTCACTAAACCTCCATAGGAGTAGGCTAATTTAATGTACATTTGGTCTCGTGAGTCGTGTGAACATCGAACACCCTTGTTCGAACTGTGTTTGAAGAGGTGTGAACCGTTTTTAGTGATCGGTATTCAAGAAGTCAAGGTGCAATAGATATCAATTCAACGCAAGTTTTCTCGCCGGAAAACAAATACATTGCGAGTCGAGGTCATATATCGCCTCTTGCGCTTCAGTCCTTTCCGATTTCTGATCTCACTCTTGTATCTTGAATAATGTATGACTTACAATGGTTTTCCGAACCCCATTTGCTTTTGAATGAATTCTGAGATGCTCTGCATCCATTTGTAAAAAAAAGTCGGTCTTAGTGTGCGAATAAGATTAGAAACATAAATTTATTCACTCGTTAATATCGAACCCATTTCAACCTAGTGAAAGCCCATACTGAAAGCCCAACCACTTCGGCCCATTTTGGAAGTAACGAGGCGTGAATCGTATAGATTTTCTTCGCAGCGAAGACGACGCCTCTTTTCATTTTCTCTTTCTTTCATACGGCGAAAAAATAATCGCCCTGCACAGAGACCGATGTCTACATTTGTTGACTCGTTCGACGACTCGGAAGTCACAGGGGTCGACTCACCTGGCCACTTCGGCACCAGCAACAGCCAGGGCGGCGATGGTGCCTATGTAGGCTACAATTCTGAACAGTTCGACTCCTTCGCGCCGAACGACGAGGCTTACGGCTCGGAGCCTGTTCCGATCTACGGCGACGGCGGAGAGTTCGTGGCGGCAGAGGAGAACGGGAGCGGCGGTTTCGATGGAGACTTCGGTGGATCCAATGGTCCTGTTCTCCCGGCTCCTTCGGAGATGGAGGAGGTTGGCTTCGCTCTCAGAGAGTGGAGAAGGTAAACGCTCCATTTCTTTCGATCCCTTTCTCTCTTATTTTTGGCTTGTGATGAGATAGGCGAATTGATCATAAAGGAACTACGAAATTGAGAATGGGTGTAGTCAATTGGCTTCCCTCTTAGACGGATTTCATGCTTGATCGATAGTTTATGCCTGACCTCCAGTCTGGTAGAGGGAATATCTGTTCATTCCTGATATAGGGTTCAATTGCAGAGAATTCGATTGGAAATGGTAGATGATCAATGACCTTTCACCTTCCTCGTTTTTTTCTTTCATTCCGTTGTATGGATGTACAGGGAGAACGCGTTGCGACTGGAGGAGAAGGAGAAGAAGGAAAGGGAGCTGCTTAGCAAAATAATAGAGGAGGCAGAGGATTACAAGGTGGAGTTCCATAAGAAGAGGGAGGTTACTTGTGAGAGCAATAAAGCAATTAACAGGGAAAGGGAGAAGGTGAGACATGAATATGTTGTTCTTTTCAAGTTTGATGTTTGTGATCTTGATCTTGGTACGCTTGAAAAGTGGTTTGTATGCTATTTTGGTTTTATTAATGAGAGATGATTAAGTGTGGTGAAAAGTGGAAAGGTTCTAAGGTAGAACATATCTCTGGATGTTAGGGTATCCCTTGCATGTGGTTTGAACCTGGAATGGGAATTTTGCTGAGGAAAAAATGATGGCGGAGTTCAGGGAATCGAGTTAGGTTAGCTATTTTGCAACTTGGAGACTTAGATGTTAGAGTAGGATCTATTCTACTATGAATTGTACGAGTTCGATACATTCATTACCTGATGACCCTTAATGTGATTTTGAACATGGAATTACATGGGTGAAACTGAAAGCCTTGAATTTTGATTGTTCATCTATTCCAATTTCAATATGTTGAACATCCTGCCTAAGCAAATTGCTTGAAATGATGAAAACCTCCTGCGATTGCCAAAACTTAAATGCTAGAATCTATTATTTGGTTGGTTAAGATTAGTCAGATGCTTTCTGGATTATTTCATGATTGTCTAGCTGATAGTGATATGCTGAATATTCCCAGCTTGCCATGGTCCTGCTGTTCCTGTAGCACCTGGAGAAAGTATTTCCCAATTTGTATTCTGTTCATGAAGTAGTTTGCTCTCTTTAGCTTCTCATAATAAGGATTTAGCAATGTGCTAACGAATAGAGGGGTTTCGTTCTAGATTCAACTTAGATTGCAGGAAACAGTTCTGGTCATTTATATTGTTTGACTGTGAGTTCACCGACTAATGTGTTCTGATGATTCTTATGAATATGTTCACTGAGTAATTTGTTCTGATGATTCTTATGAATGCAACCACAAGTTTAGTTTTTGGTTCTGATTGTATAACACGGTGTGTTCGGTGGAAGCAAGCTATATATATGAGAGCTATTGCTGTGTGTGTGTGTGTGTGTGTGTGTGTGTGATGTATCATAATCCCATTTCTGGACTGCTTCCTCTTCTTTATCTGGCCTCTGCAGCTACTTGTGACCAAGCAAGAGAAGTTCCATGCTGAGGCAGACAAGGAGTACTGGAAGTCGATAGCAGATCTCATCCCTAACGAAGTGCCCGCTTTTGAGAAGAAGAAAGCGAAGAAGGACCAGGAGAAGAAGCCTTCAATCATGGTTGTCCAAGGCCCCAAACCAGGGAAACCAACCGAGCTCTCCAGGCTGCGCCACATACTCCTACAACTGAAACACAATACACCACCTCACCTGAAGCTGACTCCATCCGCTCCACCAGCGAAGGATCCTAAAGCTATCGATTCAGCAGCAGCCTCTACTTCAAACTCTGCATCCGCAGTACCAGCAGAAGCCCCTGAGCCACTTGCCGTTGCGTGATCACTATTACTACTTAAATCTCTTCCTCTCTAGATGAAGTTTACCTTTCCCCGAGACGTTGTGGACTCGCAGCATTAAGAGTATAGCAGGAGAAGCATTTGAACTTTAAGAGTTTTAGAGGGCTTCACTACATCCTCGTATGACAATTGAAATATGCAATCTGATTACGTTTAGACGAGAAATGATATTCTGTCCTCGAGTCCAAGTCTGTGTTCTGGTCTTTCCTTGATGGATGATGATGGCTCGCAGAGTCGTTCATGGAAACTGTGACGTTCACTGTTCTTTATGCACCTGGCTGGGTCGTAACCATGAATAACCCACTTTTTTTGTTTCTCATGAAAAGTGATTGCTAGCTCAACTTCAACCCCTTTTCCCATTGATGAATGCTGCAACTGCCACTCCCGAGCTATAAATTTGGATTGCTTTAAAGTAAATGTAGTTAGTAATCTGCGATTCTAGACCACCGGCCGGCTCCTCCAATTGTCTAAGGCTAAGCCGTTACCCTTACGGCAGTTTCTACTTTCTAGCTATGTTTGATGCATGCAGTTCAGCTTTCTAAAAACTTCACTGTCGCCACTTGCAGACACTTCATATATAGTCGAGGTCTGGCTTTCCGTTGGAGAAAGGGAACCGGAAACGAAAATGTTCACCAACAGAAAAAAAAAAAGGCCAACCTTACTACGGTGCTTACAGATCATTTGTGATAACAATTTCACACATTCGGAGTGGTTGGATTGGGGAAGGACGTTTCGTAGCCCTTAAATGAATACGGTGATAATTTTGTAATTACTGTCCAACGCAACGATCCTGAGCACCTGTGAACTGATTCTCACATATGGTTCTCAGTCTCACTAATCACATGTGAGTATACCACAAACTAGGAAGAGAATCTACTGCGGATGGAAAATGTGGCAACTTGGTATTACAGAAACCGTGAGAAAAACTTTGGATTGCCAAAACGAAGTATTCAACCTAATCTACTTTACATCAAAATACAGAGTCTACGACTCCGGTTAGGCACTTCCTTTTTCTTTTTCCCCCCAGGAAATTAGGCTTCTCTGTTCTTCTTTCCAACCACAAAGATATGAATGCAAGCAACACCCAGACAAATAATACACAATATATATGATACCAGTATAAAACTGGTCAGGAATTAGGATGGGGTGGTTTTCAGAACAACAATTCATCATCACCTGCCTCGAATTGGAGAACGGCCATGTCTTTCGATCCCACCAATGTCATCCTCCAATTCCATCGAGGAGAGACCACCGTTGTTGACACTAAATTCAGAACTGGCATTGCTGCTGGTTGCAAGAGGCGAGTCCGAAACACTGATTGTTCTGCCGCTTCGAGCAGTGCCTGATGATCTAACACTGTACATCGACGATGCTGGAATGTTAGTCATCAATGGCCTTAGATTACCCGGAATGGTTCTCCTTATATCCTGTCCAATGCAATGTCAAATGTTAGGAAGTTCCAGGTTAACTGCTGATTTTGCTTTATGAAGAACCACCAAAGGGGGTGTATGGATTACGTGTAAAGTTAAACGTACCATATGCCTGATTGCCATATCCAGAGACTTCTTGGACATAGTTCTTCCAAAACCTGAGCTATCCGGCGATGAAGACTTGGCCGATAAGTTACCATGTGGAGAATGTCTGTTGTCATCTTGTTTGGAAGGGGGAGCTAGTTTCCGCATATTCATCATCCTCTCAACCATTTTGGTCCCCATGACAACTGGGCTCACACTGTCATTGGCTTTTGCATACAAACGACTCTTTGCAGGAACGGATCCCCCGCTATTGCCATTAGGGGCACGTCCTCTTGAAGGCGAGCATGACTGCCTTCTTATTCTTCCATTGGAAACCGGCTCCACAGAGGAAGATCGAGAAGCTGGTGCTCCAGGTCTGCCCCTGGAAGCTGAAGTGGGTCTGTCTGATATTGACGTCCTTAAATTCGGCGGGGCGTCTAGTGAATAGCCAGGCATGTCTGAGGGATTCCATGGCCTGGACTTGGGTGCTGGGGAACTGCCACGTGATGACGGCACTGGATTTCTGGCAATTGTAGGAACTGACTTGGTGATGACTGAAGCAGATGATGATTTGATTGGTGGTGGTGCCGATGATCTGCTGCCTGGAGGTGCACTAGATGGGGTTGATGGTCTTCGAGTTGGAGTTGCGGGCCTTGAAGCTGGCTTGGGTTGAGGTGGTGGTATAGAGGGTCTTGCTGTTGGTGTTGAAGATCTTGCTGTTGACCTTGTCGGCGTTGAAGATCGTGCTGTTGACCTTGTTGGCGTTGAAGATCGTGGAGTTGACCTTGTTGGGGTAGAAGATCTCGCCGGAACAGTAGGCTTGGCCGCTGAAGTTGCTGTTGATCTCGCTGGAGTAGGACCATTAGGCTTAGCTACAGTCGAACTAGACCTAAGAGTGGGCTTAGACGAAGGCAAGCTGGCACGGGAGGTAGGTGTTGAAGATCTTGAAGGTTTAGATGCTGTTGTCAATGTGGGACGCCCGGTCGGTGTTCCAGGCCTTGATCCCGGTCCACCAGATGATGATGGCCTACGAATCCCTATGGTAGAAGAATTCAAGCCAGGGGAGGAAGTTGATTGTCTGGATAGCAAGTTGCCACCAGCTGTGCTCTCTGGGTGGTTATTTGCCAGCTACAAACATAAAAAATAGAATCCACCCATGTCAGTTATGACACTTGATATTGCAAATCTTACATGTCTTTACTATTTACCACTATGAATCAATCATCATGACCTGTGAGTTGCAATGTTGTAAAAAGAGGCAAGGTGAGAAGCTAAAGTCCCAGGGTGACTCAATTCTAAGTGTGCATCTAGAAAACCTAGAACCTGAACGCACAATGTCATGGACCAAGAGGAACTGAAGAGAAAATGATGGGACTTTAGAACGGGAGTCTGTAAGGCTTGATATCTGGTACTTGCTGAGTAGGAGAAAACTTGATTGTTAGGACATGAAGGCAGAGAAGAGATAACAGAAGAGGATTCTAATTCCTAACGCCACTATTATTCTTCCTCTAAACTAATAAACACTTAAACAGAAAGAGCGTCAAGTAGTTGTATAGGTCTCACTACTTCACAGTTCGTGGCTGAGAATGCACCTAGAATAAGTGTCTGAACTTAAGTGCATCGTCAACAGAAACCATTTGTTTCCTTGGAGTTGAAACAATGCAGTAGCCAATACCAGAGTCTACACTAGAATCTTAAAGGTAAAGCATGGTGTTACCACTATTCAGCCCACAATCGAGTTGGTAAGCTTCAAACAGCAGATAATAATCTTACCCGAGACTTGAGTGCAGTGGGGCGAGCCTTTGGAGTACCAATCTGACTCATGACTGTCCTCTGAGATTCCATCTCCAAGGAAGGGAAAAGAGGGGTTCCGGGAGGCGTTAGAAGCCTGAGAACAGAACAGCATTTCAACAAAATGAGAGTAGTGCACAATGTTCTCAATCATCAGTTAGGTCTGAGTAACTCAAACCACCTTAATAATCAATCAGGCAGCATAACCCCCGAAAAAGTATCAGCACAAAGCACGGTGATTCTCTTCTATGAACCTAGATTCTACACCTTGATCCAAAAAAACAAAAACTTGGATGCACTATGTTGTTATGAGAGCCATTCATCACTCTCCCCACAAAATTACCATTGGCAAACGTCCAAATAACCACTCAAGGGACGAGTGGTAAAAAGCTGAAGATTGTCCGATAATGATTCCTTGATGTGCATATACCAAACACAAAGGAAAAGGGCACCGGCTTCTATCAACCCACCACGTCTTTTCAACAAATCTGAACAAAATCTTCTCCTCTTCCTAACTTATATTCTCCTACCGAATTGACCTTCTATGTCAATTATCAAGGCTCGCACACAATACAGACGCATCCAAAGAAGACGAAGCCAAAACAACAACAAAACAAACGATTGTATAATAATAATAATGGAAGCGACTAATTAATAACAAGAACATTAATACTACTAATATAAGGAAAGTATTGGAGAAAAAGGCCAGAGTCATCTTCCCACGCACCAGTCGTAGTCGTTCTTATCGTTGTCCGAGTTGAGGAAATCATCACCGCTGGTTTTCCTCGCCGGAGTCGAGGATGAGATGTTGAATATCGGTGACGTCCCAGGCTTTGAAACTATAAGAAAAAACATAATTCCAATTAGAATGAATTTCACGGCGAGTTAATCGCCGGCCGACGACACAGAACAAAATAAACAAACAAACCTAACGGCGCATCGAAATCGCCGGTCTCATTGAGCAGAAGGAGATCGCTGTTCTGCTCCTTCTCCCGCTTCCTCATTTCCAAAAACAAGGCGAGCTCCTCTTCCTTCTCCTTCATCATCGACGCTCTCAGCTGCTGCCTCTGCTTCACCACCGCCGCTTGCATTTGCAGCTGTTGCATCTGCTGCGAGTCCTGAGACCTAAAACTCCGATTCATTTTTTTCCCCACACTCTCTCCCGCCACCAACTGACTGAAGGATTGGGAAACCAGCAAAAAAGAAAAAAAAAACTAAAACTAAAACCTAACTTCGCTTCTCATTCACTTCTTCTTCTTCTTCCAACAACCAGAAAGAGGTGAAGCAGCAGCAAACAATGATTTGTTTTCCTCTCCCTCCTTTTTTAGCAAATAAACGAACAGCTTCCTCTCGCGGCGGGAGCCACTGATGAATTAGATCTCAAACCCAGCTCCAACCGCTGCTTCATAACTCCGTCGCGTCAGCTCAAAACCTAGCGCCACACAGGGAGAGAAGGGGAAGAGAGAGAGAGATAGTAGTGGTTCTCGGCTTGGGTTTTGCGAGGTCCGCGAAGAAGGCAACAATGGCCGGTAGGAGGAGAATGTGGCGTTCAGAGAGGGAGGGAAGGAGATCACAGTGCCGGAAGAAGACTCAAGAGAGAGAGAGAGAGAGAGGGAAAACGGGAAGGAGGAGTGGCGGAGGAGTGTAATTAAGCGGAGGGGGTAGGGGCGAAACTGGTAAAGTGTGAGAGAAAGAGAGAGAGAGAGTTGGGAGTTGGGGTTTTTGAGTTTTGGTTTAGGAAGCGAAAGGATATGAGCGAGATAGAGAAGTGAAATATGGGCCATGTGGACGTGGTGGGACTTGTCTTTCTTTCTTTTTCGATAGAATAATCCTTTGCTACCTTTCTTTCCCAATTTTGCAAGTCATGTCCTTGGATTTGCACAAAGATCCAATTAGGGATAGGAATGGTTCGGATTGGATCGAGTTTTGCCAAAGCCGAACACAAATTTATGGGTTTATATCTGAAAAAATTTTGAGGTAAAATTCATTGTGTTCGGAAAATTCAAACTCAACCCAATTTATTGGGTATCCACAGGTTTATGGGTACTCATGGATTTTTGTTGTAAAAAATTTACAATAACAAGTTCCTATCAAAATAAAAGTCAAATATCGATATCTCAATATAAATTATCCATATATAAAACACTATTCTAGAAAATTCAATCAAATCACAAATTAACCATACAAATTGTTGAACACCAATCTAGAAAACTCAAAACAATTGAAGCAAATCACAAATCATCCATAAACAACATGATTAATTGAAAGCTTCTTCCTCCTTGTCAATTAAGCTTCTTCAATCTCCATACAAAATTAGAAGAAAAAATTAGACATGTCTTCACAAACATAAAGAAGATTATTTACTTAGAATATTAAATATACCGGGAAAATTAATTATATGGGTGTGGGCGGATATCCATGGGGAGGATATACCTAAATCCAAACCCAACTCGGTGAATAGTTAACAGGTTTAAACCCGAACCCGACTCAAAACCCGTCAACACGGGTTTTACCCACTTTGACCGGGTTGGATCAGGTAGGATACCCCTGGGTTCGGGTTTTGTTGTCATCCCTAGATCCAACACTGGTGAATAGTGAACGGGTTTAAACCCGAACCCGACCCAAAACCCGTCAACACGGGTTTTACCCACGTTGACCGGGTTGGATCAGGTAGGATACCCGTGGGTTCGGGTTTTGTTGTCATCCCTAGATCCAACCCCCCCCCCCTCCCCTCCCCCTCCCCCTTCTTTTGAATAGGGTTGGCAACGGGGCGGATCGGGGACGGATTCATACCATCCGTTCCCCGTCCGTGAGCAGTGTCGGGTTTCCCCGACCCCGTCCTCGGCCACTCAACGGGGCCAAAACTGCTACTGTCACCGTGAAGCAACGGATTCAGGGAAACCACGGGTCCCCGTTACCCGCTAGAAACACTAAATAATTAACATATTCAAACAAGAAAATAAATGGAAAAACATGTAATTCAGTTCAAATTCAAAGTGAGCACCATCAAAAGCAGATTAACATAAAGCCTATAATGCTGCAACCCACCCACCACCCAGAACTCTGAATTTTCAAGAGTTCCTCAATTGTTCATCAACTGTCTAATAGTCATAAGTAGCAAAGAAAAAACAAGTAAACAACTCAAACTCTCAAAGGCAGTAAGCCACACACCAATCTATTGTTCAAATTTGGAACAAATAAGGCACACTCAAACTCAAACTCTCAAAGGCAGTAAGCCAAACTCTCAAAGGCACCAGCAAGGCAGCAACCAGATTTGAAGAACAGAAGCAGTCAAGCAGCACATGGCAAATTGACAATTGACATTCATTCCCTGCAAGAAAACAAAAATATGAAGGAACAGATACAAGCTTACAATAAAGGAGACAAGTCAGTTTGAATGTATTATATACCTTCTCTTCTGAGGTTCCAATAATCAGTCATCAAAGGAGAATGGTGAATCCAGATTCAGAAGTTCCTGGACTGCAATCAATATAAAAAAAAACTTTGTTCACTTATGCAGTTCATAAATCATAACTTACCAACTAAAAACCAACTAACTTACCCCCATTTTCCTGATCTTCTACACTTGAATCGTGAACTGACAACCCAGTAAACAGTCCATTCATTGCCTCCACAGCAGTAGCAGCCTCTGATTCTGCAGAAATAGAACAAACTCACTTGTTTAAATGAACCAAAAGCTACTACTAAGACTAAACTCGAAGTATATTGCAGGTTACCTCTTAGCTAGGCTTCCCTAACCCAGCTACGACTGCACAACATAGCCTCCACAGTAGAATAGTTGAGCCTGCTCCTGTGGGGGTCTAACAACCTCCCACCAGAGCTGAAAGCACTCTCGGAAGCAACTGATGTTATTGGTATAGCCAAAAAGTCCCTTGCAATTGCTTGCAAAGTAGGATACTTAAGGCCATTCAACTTCCACCACATCAAGAGATCAAATTCAGCAGATGGATCACGAGGAATAAGTTCCTCAGCAAGATAATGGTCCAACTCAGTAGTAATCAGAGTTGTTTTGCTCTTTTTCCTCTGACTTACAAACAACTCGAAATCAAGATCAGTTGCTGAAACAGAGGCATTTGCATTTCCAATCGGTTCATTGGCAGAAGAACCAGATTTCTTTTCAGCCTTGGTTTGATAATCATTAATCAAACCACAAATCAGCTGTTTTAGATCCTTAGCCACCAAGTAAGTATCAGAGCTGCCAAACTTAGCAGCATAATACTCAATGACATGCATTTTGTACCTAGGATCCAGAACCACTGAAACTGCCAGAACAAGATGTATATCATCCCAATACTTTGTGAATTTCAACCACATATTTCCAGCCATGGCAGAAATAATAGGATTAAGATCAGCACACCAGTCAGTCAATTTCAATCACAGATCACAGACCTTAGAGAAAAACAGATTGACAGTGGGGTACTTGGTACCCGAAAATAATGCAGTCATCTCACTGAAAATGAGCAGTTTATCAATCACAATAGCAGCAAAATCCCAGTGATCATTAGTAGGAACTGATGTGTATTGACTATCCATCTGTCTTAAACGAAAAAAGACATCTCTGTACAGAAGAGCAATAGAGAGCATATCATAGGTAGAATTCCACCTTGTTGGACAATCAAGCACAAGTTTTTTCCCAACAGCCAACTTAAGCTGTTTAACAGCTTCATTGAAAGTCTGGACCCTCTTAGGTGTGGATGTCCAATACACCACACTCTCCCTAATCAAATGGATTCCATCCTTTATCACATCCAAACCATCTTTCACAATAAGGTTCAGTATATGAGCAGAACACCTCATATGAATCAGTCTACCATCCATCAACAAGTCATTCAAAACAAGTTTATTCTTAAGGTGAGCAATCATGGAATCATTAGTGAAGCGGTTGTCCAAGGTGATTGCAGACAACTTTCCATCAATGTTCCAATTCAAAAGACATTGAAACAGTTTTCTTGCAAGCCTCTCACTCGTATGAGGGGCAGGGACATACAAAAACTTTAGCATTGAGTTTCTAAGCTTCCAAGTATTATCAATAAAGTGAGCTGTGACTTCCATATAACCCCTTTTCTCGTTTGGGGCAGTCCACAAATCAGTGGTCACAACAATTCTACCCAAATTACCATCAATAACCTTTTGGTAGCTACTCCTTTCAACCCCATACAAAGACAAGATATCTTTCTTCACAGTATTTCTACAAGGCACAGTAAACTGTGGTTGCAAAGAACAACAGAAATGCTTGAAACCCAAGTGTTCAACAATGCTAAGAGGGTACTCATGGACCAAAATCAATGAGCTCAGCTCCTTCCTAGACACATCAGAGTTGAACTGTGTAGCAGATAATTGGGGTTTTCCAGTTGCTTTGTAATTAGGGCAAAGAATTTTTTGAGCACCATCATGTATCTTTTTTGGATACAGGTTTTCACGTGAGTCCTAAGGTGCGAAGTTCCATTACGAGTATCACCACCAAGGTTTTTTCGACAGTACTTGCACTTAGCTTTAATAACCCCATTAAGCTTAACCCTAATGTAATGAGGCCATACATCAGAAGTCAATTTGCATTCTTCAACAAGCACTTTAGCATTTTCATTAGCCAAGTTACCGTTACCATTACCAACTTGTTCAGGTTGGTTGTTTTGATCAACAGGGGCAGGTTGTGGAGGAACATGAGCATTGACAACATTTTCAGGTGCACCTTCCATCTGACATTTAGATAAACGAGTATAAACATCAAAGGATTGCTTGGTTACTTTTTAGGCTTTAGCTATAAGATTTCTAGGTTCAAATGTATAGTCTTTTAGATTCAATTGTAAAATGCATATGATACACTTATACTAAACAAGACATGATTCATGAGCATACCCAAGCAATCAACAGAAACTCGAGTCCCTAATGCCTAATCCATGCAAACCAAATTAAGTAAAATGTCCTTAATTCCTTAACTAACCTCGAATCTGGAGAGAGGGGGGTCTATTGTCCAGAGTTGTGGATGGTGAACTGATGCCTGATAGGCTGATACAAAACTGCAAAAACTCAAACAAAAGTACAAACATTACAATCCAATGAGTCAAAATCAATACAACAAACTACTAATTACTAAACACTAACTGACTAAGGAAATCTGATTAGGGATTACCTCGAGTATCAGAGCATGCAGTCGCAGGTCCAGATGAAGATGAAGCTGAAGAGCCCTAGAAAGAACCAATCGACTCGAGTTGATTTAAACGAACCTAAAACTAAAGCAAGAAACTGAAACAAGAAAGAAGAATTGAATTGGAAGGTACTTATCTCGAGTTCTGGATTATCGGAACAATAATCGACGACAAATCCTCCCAATAACCTCGAATCGGAGATTGGAACAGTCATCTTCTCCTTTTGCATGTTGTTCTTTGCCTAAATCGATGAGGATATTAGGCTTTGATTGCTGAATGAAGAGGATAATGAATGATTGACAGCCTGGATGGAGAGAATTTCGCGGGGGAATCGAATTGATGGATTGAGCGGCGATTGAGAGCAGAGAACTGAGAAGAGAAGAGAGACTGAGAGAGCGGCGATTTTCCAATTAGGGATTAGGGTTTACCTCCAGCTGCTCGACTGATGGATATATATATGCTCATAATATGACGTCGTTTTTATGGCTCGGGGCGGATAGCCTGGACTCCGTCACCGCCCGACGTCTGTTATCCACGGATAACAGGTTTCCCCGAATCCGTTAATTCACCGTCAACGCCGGGTAAGAACTGCTCCGCCCAGCCGGTTTTCGGGCGGGTACCCGCCCCCACGGTCTGATATGCCATCCCTACTTTTGAAACACGTACGATGATAGTATAAAACTTTCTAGTTCGTAACAAAATGGTTATACCGTCTCATTTCTCCTCGTCAGAGCTCTTTCAATCACTCAACAACCAATGAATACAAAGATAGGTTGAAGAAATAATCTTACGAGCTATGTCCCCTAAAACCCTAACACAAACACAAAGGTATGTATTATATGGGGATGTATCGATTCTGAGTATGTTCCTTAATGTCCACATCAAACCTTCCATGGACCTGAAACAGAAAACCATTTATAGAAAGAAATGAGAGATCTGAAAGGGTAAGACATACAAGGAGTAGAATATGAGAGAAGGTTCAAGTCATCTCATTGAGAACATTCAGATATGGCGGCAGCAATTGGAAGAACTCTGGCGTGCAGAATTAGGAGTGTCTAACAGTTTTGTTATGAACTAAAAAGTTTTGTCACCATCGTATTACATATTTCAAAAGTGGGGTGGGTTGAGTCCGAGTGGGTTAAGTCACTTGATTATCAGATGTTTTTATTGATAATTTTAGTAACATGAAGTGTTGAGACTAGACCAACATTATTAATCAAAGTTGGCCCTGGATGGGGAAAAACATAACCTAGTCGCTACTACTTATTGAAACCGCTTGAGTGATTGGTGATTACAAGTTCGCCAAAAGAAGGAAGAGTCATGTCAACCTAGTTGTGGTCAATACTCTGACATTGCATTGATCAATTGCTACTTTCATAAGGAACACTCATATCATCCCAACCAAACATTATAACACCATTACCACCAAACTTTCAAACTAAAAATAAAAAACTACAACAATACGATTGTCCAATATTAGAGTCATTGTCCAATATTATCCTCATACGACGAGATAGGATAAGTTGAATGTGACACAGGACACATCTAATTCCGAAAGTGAAAATAATCGACCCCAACTATATATATGCGTCTATAAAGATTGAACTCAGAACCTCAAAATTAATATAGTAACAATTTACATTATATTACAACTCATTCCTAATAATTCTCTTGTTCCAACTTTTGGCTCCGCGCCATCGAGAAAAACTGACACAGAATCCAATACAACTAAAATGATAAATGTTTGTTCACGGTACAGATACTTTGCAATTTCACATTAGAATTATGGAAAATGTTTCGGACTCTGGTTGTACTTGGCTTCGATCGTACATGTGAATTCTGCAACTGTGCTCGATGCCTGTGGGAACGTGCTTACAAGTGTCCAACACTGTTATGCCACCGCTTCAATCTAACGATTGTTTTTTTTTTGTTCGCGTCCGATCCAACGACGTAAGGTGCCTAATGAGCACCAAGGTGGCAATATATGTAAACTATATTTCTATTTTAGGTAGGAGGTAGTTGGGGGCAGAACCAAGCCAAAGCCAAAATTTTATAGTGTCCAGTGGGAGCTTCAAAGTTCAATTATCATTGTGAAACAAAAGGCAACTGCAAAGAGTCAGTCGGCCCCTTCATTTTCTATTTCTATTATGAATAGTTGGTTGCTTACTACTTGTTTTGTTCCCTCCCTGATTGATCTCACTTGAAGCCTACGAGGACATCACTCATCAGCTTATTTTATGCTCTGGGCTCCGTAACAAAACTCCTTTCCTGCAAAACCCCAGTCGTATTATCATATCACAACTTGTGTGATACGAATACGATTATATGAGACGATTATATTTCGTATCATCGTATCACGATCTTGTGATACAATGATACGACCGGATTTTACAAGTTTTGTAGGTCGTGTGAGTTTTGTTTTGCACGGTATTCGTTCTCTTATTTTATTATTGTTTCTGCCTTTCCTTTTTCGTTGAAGGTGGGTAGCAGTTGCATCACCAGGTACTGGTAGGGCTGCTCGCTTTCCTTTTTTTTTTAATAATCAAACTCCAAACACAGCTTATCAACTACTAAATATTTTAACTCATCCTGAAAGATTTTTTTTTATTTTCTTATAACTAATCCTGAAGGATTCGCGAGTGGTAAATTATCAGCTGGTTAAGTTGGTAAAACCGAGTAATTAACAGATAATTAATTTATCACCTTCACAGTTCTGCTTCTGAATTTTCTGTCAGATGTTTGGGGCCAAACAGCTATTATATATCAGATTTAAAGACCGGCGCCGACCATATAGACCCAAGAGCCCGACCACGGTCAAATGTCCAGACCATACACACCTAAATTGACCAATAGAATAAATGTCCAGACAATACCCAAATATTGATGAGTCTTTTATATCATCCCTAACACTTCACTAATACCTTGGCACGATTGTAACACCAACATCTTTTAGTTCCACAGCAAACTGAATCAGATCAAATAGATATTTCCTATCCAATCGAATAGATATTTCCATATGAATTAGTTCATGTGGTTTTGATTTCGTACTTTTAGGAGTTCTCTTAACAGTCAGTAAAGAGGAAACAAACCCGAACAAAATAGGATTTCAGCTCGAGTCTCAGTTTTTCCTTTTATTTATAGTCCGATCATATGGTGATTTGATTCCACAACCATGCAATGACATGTTCACTAGTTTACTACAGAAGCTGTTGCACAGCTGCAGCAGAAACCTACAAAAGGAGAGGCTGCACATCGACATGTGAGTTCTTCTCTTCTATTTATCCAAAACATGTTCCCATGTTCAGCTTAGTGCACAGATGCAGAGCAAGAAAACTGCGACTGGGGAAGAAAGGAGAGGAGATTCGGGTCCCTGTGATTTGAAACAGGAAAGTGCATTCATCCAGTGAGCACCCAAGAGCCAGCAGCAGCAGACACACCGATCGAATTGACATCGTCGCCATCTACATTCTACCCAACCACATGAACCTTGCTTGAGGGAACTAAGAGATCAGCCATCACCGACGATATTTTCGCTTCGAGCGAAGAAGCAACACCACCTACATGAAAGAAAACCAGAGACATGATCAAGTTCACAGGGTTCTTTCAGCGACTCGGTTTCGAGGGGGAGAGACTCATTGGAGCCTGGCAGTGGGGGGGCATCACTCAAGTGTAAATACAGTTCTCTTCGACAGCTCTGCGCCGACAGCCCTCTTGTATCTGTGCAGCTAGGACTCCAAATATTAACTTTCTTCTGCCTCAAGAGATGCTCTCAGATCTTTCAAATAAAAGTAACTAGTAGAGTTAGTGTCGACATCTCAATTGTGTAACATTTGTATGCTTGTGAGTTAGTGTCGACATTTCAATTGTGTAACATTAGTATGCTTGTGCGTCTATGTGCACAGGCCACGACTCGTGTACTAGAACGAAATTTCGCTGTCGAACTAGGTTTCTTTCAACTACGATACACTACTTTCTCTGTATTCATAATATCTATCTATATTCGTTCCGCAACTTATTATATCGCTATACAGAACAGCTATAGGAAGAAATTCCGGAAGAAAATCAGTGTATGACACAAGCCTGGAAGTTACCTGGTACCTCACACGATCACCCTTCAATCCAGTTAAAATCTCACCAACATCACAATCCTCTATTTCAACTGATCCATGCCCACTGGTTTCAGGACCTGACTCATAATCAGAGGTCTCGGATTCAGGTTCGACCGTTTCTTCGTTGTCGTCTACAAGATTATCATTCAAGTCCCCGTGCATATTATTGTCATGTTGCGGCTCGTTCATTGTTTTTTCGGGAACATGAGGCAGCAAGGACTCCCCATTCTGCAAGAGTGCAAAATCTGACAGGACGACATATGGATTTTTGTCAAGTAAAGGCCTTGCCACATCAAATGGAACCCATCTGCACAGTATAAATTAGAACATCATCAGTATCCAAACTTATAAAGCACTAAGAAATAGTGTACTTCGACAAAGAAAACAAACAATAGTGTAAAATGCAGCATGAATGGAAAGCAGCAGATACAATTGAGACCTCTCAAAATTAGATGCCTAAAAGAACAAAACTCTCAACTAAGATATTCCCAGAACCATGTAAACCCAAAATAAGCAATCAATTATGATGCACAATCAACAGGGTATGCTCAGATGACAGCTTCAGGTAAAATGCACATTCAGCTCCTTTGGCTATGCAATTGGCATGCAATTGAACAAGTTGCATCATTCTTTTGTCGAAAGCTGTGATGTATATGAATCTATTTGATTACACGAAATCTCAAATGCATCAATATACTTAGGGTAGAAACTATTCGGAAATGCACCCTAGAAAAATGGGTCACACGACCTTTTCACTTTCCTGACACTACATTTCCTGACATTTACACTGAACCAAACAATGGTTTTGTAAATACATCGCAGCATGCAAACTGAATAACAAGCATTGAGCCAAACAGTATCAATTTACAGACCCAAACACACCCTTTATCGATGACGGGGAAAACCTATCGCATTACAATTTTGACCAACATATGACAAGGTTGATTCGTGTTGAAAAGGAATCCTCAGAGCATAGCCGCAAAGTAATGTAGAAGAGAAACGGAATGCGAGAAAGGAACTTGCAAGCATGAAGACGCGGACAAAAATGTCGAAACCAATAAATTGTGTACAAATCAACTTACTGGTAACGAAGAGGACAGAGCAGTTCAAATGGGCGATAAGCAGCTTTGTATCTATCTCATCTTACTGCAGGAGTGTATATAGTAGCCAAGATAATAGTGCTGAAGACTAGCGCAATGTACTAGATTCTCTTTCACCCAATTTATCTCTTGCAAGGCTGAATAATTGCCGAAAGACAGGATAGCATAGTCTGGATCCCAGAACAAATATGTACTTGACAAACATTTTGGCAAGATGTCTATCACTCCAACAGCAATTAGGTGACCATCAATTACATATTGCTGATGGAAAGAACCAAACCCACAAGGAGTAACCCCGCTGTCACCAGACGATGGAACAAAGACTAGAGGAGAGTCGACCAGAAACATTTTGTATGAGCCTTCTGTGATATTATAAGGATCATCATTATGCACATTTAGCTGATACCGTCTATACAAATCAAACTCTTTAGGATCAAAACTAGACCTTTTCAACCGAACCTCAAGCCTCCTCCTTTTACCAAGCAAATGTTCGTTACTCTTCCTTGAACAGCAACCTTTTATTTTACAACCTCTTCCAGATTCTTCAGGCCCACTGAGAGTTTCACTGCTCTCAGAAGGAGACTGTGTTGCAGCACCATAAAAATTTATATGGCCTTTGCAGGCCCCGACTACCAGGCTGCTGCTGCTTTGAGCCAGCTGATCAACAGATGCAACCAGCCTTTCTGCAATTGCCTTGGAGGTTATGGCATTATCATCTTCATGATTAGGTCTTGGTTGCTTGTTAGCTGACTTAGCTCGATTGAGAATAGCCGCTATCTGGAATGCAATATTGCTAGAGTACAATAGATATTTTCCCCCTTCAACATGTAGTTTCCATTTCCCCTGGAATACCTTTTTGACAGACACGGTAGGTAGTTTGATGGCAGAAGGAAGTTCCCCGTGTTCAGTGCACTTACTCACTGCCTTGTCAAGTTGCACAGCCAAATAGCTGATAGTCTGCTCTGAACTTTTTCTCTCCTCACTTTGATCAGAGAGTGAATCTTTCATTCCACTGCTTGAAGCTTCATGACAGGCACACGTGCATTCGTTGTTAGAGGTAGTTGGATCATCTATTGCCTCTACTGAGTTTTTCACATCAAACATTCCATCTAAGAACCTAGGCACACGCATTACAACCAGTCAATTAGGTACTAAGGAATCAGATACAAATTACATTCAACAATACTAGATAGACAAACAAAACTTGGCTTCAAATTCCTCGAAGATTCAGAGATAATTTCACCAAGAAATTATCCTCTATGCATGTGGAACATCCAAACAGCAGTAGCTTGTTTCAATAACAAGCCAATGTGATCTCAAAGACCAACCAATCAAAAAGAAAGAGACCATAGGGATATGCATTCTTTAATGGGTTTTCTAGAAAGAGAAAATACCTTTGTACTCTTCTAAAAACGCCCCGTTGCTCTTTTGAGGGAACAAACTCACTTGCCCTGCGGATAGTATAAGATGGGCAGCATGTTCTTTCCATCTCAGGTTTGTACAGGAAACATCCGGATCTTCTCCAACCCTGGTCAAGAAGATCTAGCAATGAAGGATTAGATTAGAAGACAGCAGACCTACAAAAAGTTTCATGTTTTAATACAGTCACAAGTCACAACACAACCATCAACTAGACAACACCAGTTTCATTTCAGGTTGCATAAAAAGATATCCACCATTTCGATGAATCACGAAGATATCTGCTCATCTTAAAGCAGTTTGACATCACTCAAGATCCATCGATTTCACATATGTGGCACAACAATCGTTCAACTGTTCTTTCTTTCAAGTTTAAACATTCTTTTACAAGTGGTTTCATACTGATCAGACTCCCATCAAAATTTCCCTTGAGAGTGAAATTGAGACTTCATAAAGCATAACACTGTTCCCGGTATCCGAATCTATTGAACATGACAACGTACAGGAACATAAATAGAACGAACCTTGATAGTCATCAACTGTAAGTCTGTAATGCTGTGCGCCGATAAACCTGGGAAAGCAACCCAAGTGAGCCTTAATTAAACATCGAAACCTGACTTCCATTCGTATTATTCGAATCAAACAAACTGGAAACAACAAACCCACACTACATATTCAAATCAGAGTTTGCTCTTGGATTACAATGCTCAAAATCCAATACAATTCAACCAAATTCCTTAAGGTGGTAACAGACTAAGCTCCATAAATCCACATTTCCTTCATTTTAAAATCATAAGACAGCCACCAATACGACTGGTTCCCAATTCCACGCTCCCGCAAGGACAAGGAATCAATAAATTCTAGGACTCCATCACCAAGAACTAGCCAAACAAAGGTATAAACCAAGAAAATCCCCCCACGACAAACAGGGAATGATTAGAAAACACGGACCATGGGAAATGCTGCTGTGGCCGGGAGATTTGCAGTAACCGCAAGAACTTCTACACCGGCCATTATCCACGACCACCGTCTCTCCCCGGCTACAGCTGCTGCTGCTGCCTACCTCGCTTCTCCTCATCGTCTCAGCCATATTTCTCTCAGGATTCGCCAATCATCAACAAGTCTTCACTAGCTGCGGCGCAAGAATTCCGGGACGACGGCGAATCGGCTTACTTCATTGGTTATTTGAAAGTAAAGTAGGTCTCTTTTTTCCCCAAACGTGAAATCGAAGCAAGGTATTACTTTATCCTAAACGTGAGATTGAAGTAAGGTATTGTGCATACGGAGATCTAGGTGTAGTCATTGGATTGAAAAAGAGAACTTTTGAGTTTTAAGAATTTTTTCGATTTATCATCGATTTATTACATTATAACATTTGAAAGAGTATATAATTTGTTAAATTGATTTTTTTTATCATGAATTTATAATTTGTTGCACAAATTTTGCATTGCAGGAACAAATCTCAAATGAAAATAAGGAATTAGCAAATTCGTGGTGTACACAGATTTGGAATAAAAAACGCCAAAGTTTATGGGACACGAAGTAGAGTGAAAAGCAGTTGTAAGCTTGTAGTTGTATGTTGACATTTTAAAATATATTAATAAAATTTCCTTTTATTGCACTTGAAAGGAAAAATAATTAGTAATTTTCCATTAATAAGTTCAAAATCCCTTTCATATAACACATTCTGGCATATCATATTAAGAAGAGAAAAAGGATATAAATAATCTTTAATTAGAGGCTAGCTACTGTCGTTGCATGAACTTGATCATCAGCCTAAAGAAAAGACAAAGATGGGTTCATGGGTTCCGAAATGAGAGATCATATTATTCACAGTGAAATGAGAAAAAGAACAATAACTAATAAATCAAGGATCAAACAATCCAACGTTTTCTTGGAAACCAAGTTATCCGAGATCAAGTTCCCAAGAGCCGTCTGAATGCGCAGGTAGTTCTAATTCTTGCAGGAGTTACAATGAGGAAATTAGAAGGAGAGAGGAAGAGTGAGAGAGAGGAAGGAATGTACAATTGGTAACAGATGGTTAAGAACAGCATACTATCAAACATCATCAGCATCGCTCCCAGCGATAAGCTGCGAAACTTCATGATTGGCCCAGTAACTGCTTCCATCAGGGCCAGATACCTTAAACCTGATCAACAACCAAAATTTTGTACCCTTAATTCATCACACAATCTGGAATTCAGTCTATGGTAAGCTTTTGGTGCAACATCTATAATTGCGAAAAATGTCTCAGCTGCTATCTATTTACTGACCGCTCGAGAACAGATTTTCCTTCCTTGTACTTCTGGGACTTTTCATGGGCAGTCTCCTGAAAGAAAAATATACCATATATTTATCACTGTCTATCCATAAATGTTTTTTTTTTTTGCTATTCAAGCTTTTTTCACAGATTCAGCCAAATCTTACATATTTCCAACCCACTATCGATCCACACCCAACACAGAAGATGTCAACAACGGTATGCCTCCCGGTCATCATCATTCTCTCTTCTTTCTCTCCCATAGTGACATTCACTCTGCAACATGTAAAATTCTACTACCAAGTGAAGAGAAACCCATGGCTGAGAAAAAGGATGTCATCTTACCATAGCAGCCTTCTGCAGCAAAGGCACTTCTAATTAGACAGATCAAAATGCTCTTCCCTTCTGGGATGAATGGATAAACTTAAGATGTAAGGTCCTCATGACTTTTGTGCAAACATATCTCTGACAATGAACACTACTACTTGGACCCTTAAAAATAGTAATGATGGACAAACTCTGCCTCTCTTATGCGTTGCATCGTGTTTTAATCACATGTCCCACAATGCAAGCCCTGAGTGAAGGCTTAGATAAATTGAAGAGTGTTTGTTAACCCACATCAACTGTTGTTCATATACAACTGGCTGTACCATAAATGGAGAATAACAGATAGGTAGCATTGGCATGTATTTGGAACTACAACCTGATGTCCAAGATGGATCAACACTTAAAAATCAAGGAAAACTTACACCTTACTGAAGAGATAAGCTTTCCCATGCCTGGAGTGGAAAGACTGAAAAGACATATAGGAATGTCAAGTAGTCAGAACCTCACTTCCCAGTAAAATACAAAGAATATTTGAGGAGAACTAAAATACATCAAATTGCAGCAAACTGATAAGCTAAAGTTGTGCTCATCCATACTTCCAATAGCCTCAACTTCAATGAGAGGTGAAAACTATGCAACATTCGGTACCATATCAAATGTAAAACCTAAAACCAAACATGATTAAACAACCGACATTCCAAGGTCTATGCAGGACATTGGTATGCAATTGCTAGTAACAATGGTTCATGAGATGCCACGGCACTACCCTATCAGAAAATGAATGACAGAAGCTCTTCAGCTATCAAACAGAGATGAGATAATAACCTGCTGCATACAATGTTTATTTGAGTTGTGGAATTACATTGATCGTTTGAAATCAAGTGGGACCGAATGAATGCATTCCGATCAAACCACCTCACTACACTCATGAGCTTAGATTTACCAGGTCAAGGTCCAAAATAGTCCCAAACCCACTAAAGCTACAGAGAAGAACAACATTGTGATTTGTGCAAACCCAAAGCAGAAAGAGGTAAAGCTTTGGCAGAGATGAACCAAAGAGCCGCGACACAGTTAAGTTTCTTGTTCAGAACAATCAGGTAATGCTTGGAAGAAGAACCATAATCCACACCAGCAACAGCTCTGGTTCTCCTACGGTCCTACCCATTCTATACAGTGAACTACAATCAACATCACTATCTCTGTGAACCCTTTTACTGGTGGTGAAGATCAAGTTAAAAATTTCACCCAAATTGCACGCAATCTCCTGCATTAGATGACAGATCATTTCACTAATATCTTCGGCAATTTCCTAGGCTATCTAGTCAGTCTACCTAATTGGAAATGTGGTTGAAAACTAACAATCCTAGTCCGAAAGTGCTCTCATTCAATCATCAGAAACCTCCCAAAATTATTCATTTACAGCAAAGACCACACACCATAAAGTTCCCACACAACATAATTCCACTTTCTTTTTATAATCACAAAAATCCCAACTTAATCAAACAAAACCCATATGAGAATTCCACGAGATCATGATACCGGAGACAAGATAACTTCTCCATCGGACGAGAAAGGGACTACCTTTGACACAATATCTTCACAAAGAGCAAGATGGGTTCTGCAGTGCTTGCAACTATAGATCTTCCCTTCAAGGTTCACCACAAAAAGCCGCCCCATCACCTCAGAACCGAACAACTAGATCGTTTCCCAAAACCAGCCCCAGAAAGATTTCTCCACCAACACTTCGTGCCAATCGAAGAAAATGCCAAACTTTCAGATGATAGGAAAGAAACCACTCGGGGTAACCAACAGGCAGCGAGAGAGGGAAGAGAGAGACAGAGAAAGAAACACGGAATGGCAAGTTGGTGAATGGAGCAGAAGGGTTCTTTTCTTTCGGGGGAAAAAAAAAATACAAGCCAAAGGCAGATTGCGTACCGTTTTCACTTCCACTATGTTTGGCAACAAGGGGGTGCAAGTTCGAGGGGTACAAGTTGAGGGGTAAATTGTTTGGGGGAGCAACTTTGTGGAGGGTGTAAGTGGAGGGGTAAATTGTTGTTTGGATGAAAAAGTAGGGGGGTGCAAATAGAGTAAAAAGTAA